GACCACAGGCGCCCGCCACCTCACCCGGCTAGTTTTTTGTATTTTTAGTAGAGACGGGGTTTCACCGTATTAGCCAGGATGGTCTCGATCTCCTGACCTCGTGATCCGCCCGTCTCGGCCTCCCAAAGTGCTGGGATTACAGGCTTGAGCCACCGCGCCCGGCCTTTGTCATTTTTTTTAAAGATAGGTTTGTCGCAGAATTTCATCTAAGTTATCAAAACAATTTACATACATTGTTCACAGTATCCTCTGTATACTGTGCGGTGATGTTCATTTTCATTCCTGCTCTGGGCCATTTGTGTTTTCTTTTCCCCCGATCAGACTAGCTAAGAGTTGATCGTTTTTACAGATATTTTTCCCCAAAGAAACCTACTTTTGGATTCATTGATTTTTTTCTATTGTTTTCTTTTTCATTGACTTTTCCTCCTTTTAGTCTTATAAATTTCCTTTCTTCTACCTATTTTATGTTCCATTTGCTCTCCTTGTCTTAGGTTCATGTGGTAGAGGCTTAGATCATTGATGAAGAACATGAAAGAACAGGGTAGTGCAGTTAAAAACTTGGTCTACTTATGCCCGTTAGAGAAAACATTCTTAAGCACACATGGAGTCTTTTAGAAATTGACCATGTACTAGGACACGAAGCAAATGTCAGTAACTTGCAGAAGACAATGTATAAATATACGACACGTAGATAAATAATACAAATCACATTCGTTGGCCAGAGTGCAATTGAGGAGGAAATCAGTAACAAAAAGGCAATTAAACACATTTGATTGTTTTGTTTTTGTTTTGTAATAACTTGCACTTCCCTGATGCCTGAGGCCCAGCACCTTTTTGTGTGCTCTTGGCCATTTGGGTATCTTCTTTGGGAAGGGCCTACTTAATTCTTTTGCCTATTTAAAAAACTGGGTCTTAGAAGTCTCGTCGTTTTTTTGAGTCAGGATCTTTCTTGCACAGGCTGGAGGGCAGCGGTACGATCATAGCTCACTGCAGCCTCAAACTCCTCGGCTCAAGTGAGCCTCCCACCTCAGTCTCCTGGGTAGCTGGGACTATAGGCATGCATCACTATGCTCTGCTAATTAATTTTTTTTTTTTTTTTTGTAGAGACTGGGTCTTGCTGTGTTGCCCAGACTGATCTCAAAGTCCTGGTCTTAAGTGATTCACCTGCCTCCACCTCCCAGAGTGCCAGGATTCCAGGTGGCATAAGCCCCCACACCCAGCCTGGTCTTGGAGTTCTTTCTAGGTCTAGGTGTGAGTCCTTTCTCAGATACGTGTTGTGAATAATTTCTGATTCTCTGGCTTGCTATTTTACTTGTTAGTGGTTATCTTTTGGAAAGCAAAGGTTTCTAATTTGATGAAATTTAATTTTTATTTATTTTTTCATTCTAGTTTTCTCATCAAATTGAGACTTTGGGGAAACTACACAGCAGCAAACCAGGACATATCCTCTTAAAAACAGCTCAAGCCAGCCAGGCGCAGTGGCTCATGCCTGGAATCCCAGCACTGTGGGAGGCCAAGATGGGTCTCACATGAGGTCAGGAGTTCGAGACCAGCCTGGCCAACATGGGGAAACTCCGTCTCTACTAAAAAAATACAAAACTTAGCCAGGCATGATGGCAGGCACCTGTAATCCTAGCTACTTAGGAAGCTGAGGCAGGAGAATCGCTTGAACCCAGGAGGCAGAGGTTGCAGTGCGCCAAGATCGCGCCATTGCACTCCAGCCCGGGGGGCAAGAGCAAGACTTCACCTTAAAAAAAAAAAAAAAAAACAGCTTGAGCCAAGCATGGGTGGCTCCTGCCTGGAATCCCAGCACTTTGGGAGGCTGAGGCAGGAGGATCACTTGAGGCCAGGAGTTCAAGACCAGCCTGGCCAACATCGCAAAATCCCATCTCTACTAGAAATACAAAAATTAATCAGGAGTGGTGGCAGCATCTGCCTATAATCCCGGCTACTCCGGAGGCTAAGACACAAGAATCACTTGAAGCTGGGAGATGGAGTTTGCAGTGAGCCAAAATCGTGCCACTGCTCTCCAACATGGATGGCAGAGCAAGACTCTGTGTCAAAAAAAAAAAAAAAAAAGCTTGAAAATTTAAAAATATCTCAATAATTATGAGAGGCAGTGATTTTTTTTTTTCTTCCCTAAGCTAGGTTTCGAGGTATCTCTAGGTTCAACTCCTCTGGGGCTGGATGTACATGAGGTTGGAGTCCAGGGTGCCTGAGACACGATGGCCCATGTGCTCCACCTCCTCACGTCTTCAACAGCTTTGCAGAGATGACCCTGTCGGGCTTTGGCTGCTGGTCACAACTCCAGGGGAAGGTCAGGCGTTTGTCCAGTCGCAGCTCTGGCCTTGCGTGGCTGTCCTGGGCTGAGGGCAGCTGCCCTGAGATCAGAGCGACCCCGCCTTGGCCAGCATCACCCCTTCCCACGGCCCCGCCACCACACAAGTGGGACCCTGGCCAGGGCACCACGGGCGCCGGGTACAGCGTGGGCCATCACAGCCTCCCCGGGCACTCTGCTAGAGGCCTGGGTGTACCTGGGCCCCATACTCCCACCCGTGGTGCCCTGGCCAGGTCTGACTCTGACCCCTGCTTCCTGGCTTCCCACAGCCGTGGGACCAGCCCCAGCCCCACATCCACACTCTTCATGCGGCCGTTTCCCCAGGACATGGCCTGGCCACTCCATTGTGCCAAAAGGGTGTGGCCCAAGGCACACCCAGACACACTGGGTCTGGGCTCCAAACCCTCCCCCGCAGCACCACGATCCCATCAGCAGCAGAGGGACTGACAGTTTCTCCCACTTTGTGAACAGGAAGCCCGAGCTCCAGCAGGCCAGGGTCATGGGGAGGGGTGGGGCTGTGCCACCCAGGTTGCGTGTCTGAGCTGGTGCATGCGGCCAGCCCTGGAGGTGGACATCTCAACTCTGCCACCCTAAGGGCCCGACACGGCTGCAACCCTGGACCAGGGTGCAGGCCATGCCTTGCCCCAACGTGCAGCTGAAAGTCTTGTCCACGGATCCTCCAGGCTGAGAGCCCAGCCCTGCCCTGTCTGTCAGAACGCTCCCCAGGGCCTTTGCGTCTAAGCAGGGGATCTCTGTCCTGGCTCCAGCTGGCTCCGGGTTGACCCTGCATGCTGCCACCTTGACACCAAGCATCCTCAGCAGTCACATGCAGAGTGGGGGCGCCAGGAGGGCCAGTGCTCTGAGCCTGCCCACTGAGGGCCCCACTGAGCAGCAGTGGCAGCTGCCTGCCGTCCCCCGGGGCAGGCCAACCACAGACTCTCCAGGTCCTTGATGGGCTGCTAGGGGAGGGGAGGGGCAGGGGAAGGACAGGCAGGAATATGAAAGCGGACAGATATGGGTGGAGACTTGCAGAGCAGAAAGCCCATCTCCGGGAGCAAGGCAGGGGCCGCCCGGTGCTTCCTCCTGCCACAGGAGTTGAGGGCACGCAGGACGCCCACCACCTACACACACAGCCCCATCAGTTCACCAACCCCCAAGCCACAGCACCGCACTGACGCAGGAGGAAGCCACCAAGGAAGGCAGCTCTGCTCGCCTCAACCCCAAGCATCCCCAGGTGAAGACATCAGATCCACGTCCAAGAGCAGAAACCAGGAGAGAGAAAGTAGGCATTGTCAGGAACAGAGCAGTCAGAATTTTAAGCTCTTTACATGACTGACTGCAATGTGTCCCAAGAAGTGCAGCAGTCAGGCGGCTGGAAGAGTCCAGGCTCCGTCCCCAGGCACAGGGCTGCGGTGGCCCAGGCAGGACAGCCGGGAGATGGGGAGGGGACGCCGGAAGTGTCTGAGCCGCCAGTCTCAGGAGTGGGCGTGGTGCCGACAGTGTGAGCGGGCACTGGGTCCTGGCGCTGTGGGGCCACAACACCCAGGTGAAGCGATGAGCGTTTTGCCAGGACACGGCTGTCATCCGTGCAGTCACCCCCAGGGTGAGAGGGCGGTTTGCATGCCAGGCACCACAAACCATGCTCCCAAACACTCCTGGGCAGCAGCCTCTGCCTGAGACGCGCAACAGCAACCAGAGCTGCCTGATGCCTGGAAGCGGGGCCTCAGGTGGCCTGGGGTCCAGAGCGACTCATTCAGGCCAAAGGAAGTGTCAACCCCCAGCACTCGTGAGGCCGGAGGCCTGGCTGTGGGCCCTGGAGACATCTTCCTGTTCGCATTGTGGCCCGGAGACCGGCCATGCCCTCTCCTGTGACTGGGGGCTCCCTGGGGATCAGGCCACGACCAATAGAAGGGGCCAGCCTGCTGGGGGCCACGAGGTGGCCCGGGGGCCAGGTTTGTGGTCAGCTCCTGGCGTTGCAGCTTCACTGCGGGGCTGCCTTCCTCTGCTCCAGCTCTGACAGCTGCTCCTCCCGGGCCCGTGCGTGCTGCGCTCCCACTTTGTGCGCCATCTCAGTGGCCGCGATGTCAATCTGGGCGTAGAGGGAGGCGCTGGCCCCTGAAAGAAGCCTGTGGTGAGCTGCAGCCTGCGCCCCCAAGCTGCCCAGCCCCGTGACCCTGCCCTCCACACCAGTCCCCCAGCCAGGCCCTCGGAAGTGCCTGAGTGGGGACACCCTCAGGGGATGTGGCCTGGCCGGGGATGGAGTTGGGGACGTTTGCCTCCTGGGGGGAGGCTGTAGGAAGAGCTCCCTGACTGAGGGCTGCTGGACTGGGCTGGTGGGGGGTAGGGCCTTGAGGCTGTGGTCCCAGTCCCTGACCGTCAGGGCCTCCATGAAGGGCAGGGACCCACCTCGGACCCCCTCGCTGGCCTCCTGGAGCTCCAGGCCCATGTAGTGCAGCTGCTTCCCGGAGGGGGGGCTGACGGGGATGTTCACGTAAGCAGGTGGCTCGCCGCGTGGCCTCTCTGGCCCTGGGCTGTCCACAGCCACGGGTCCTGGGGATCCTGTGGGGGAAGCAGCTGTGAGGCCCCGGTGGGGGCGGCGAGCGGCACAGACCCCAAAGATGGTGCAGTAAAGAGCTGCCCACCCCTCCCAGCCCCTCCTCCCCGCGCCGCCTCTCCTGCGGAGGTTCTGGCTCCATTTTCCTGGACCATCCATCTTTGGCCCAGCGCTGCCCCATCCTGAGGCCACCCCCACACTGTCCACTCCTGGTCCAAGTACCCACAGAGCAGAAGGAAGCACTGCCCCCTCCACTGTGCCGCCTCTCCTGCAGGAATTGCTGACCCCCCATGAAGCCCCCAAGGCCCACTCTTCTGTCCCTGCGCCACTCACCCCGCACCTTCACGACTCTCTCCCCACCAACCACCGCTCCTTGGCTGTCCCGGCGCCTTCTCTGCCTCACCCGCCCGGGCCAGCACAGCCCTGCTTTGTCCTGGCCCCCAGCACCTGCCCCCCACTGTCCTCCTGGGTCGCCCCACCTGCTGCAGGTTCCAGGGACCCCTCCTCTCCTGCGCACAGGCCCACGCTCCCTCTGCTCCCCTCCAGGACACCCAGGTGCCCCACACCCTGTCTCCCCTCATAGGAGCTACTTCCTGTCCCCACCCCCTTCCTAATAGCTGATGGTGCCATCTGCAAACCCCATCGGTGCTGGGGAGGGCGGAGCAGGAGCGGGATAGGAGGGGACCCACAGGCCTGGCTGGGTGGGACCTGAGGCAGGCTCCCACCTTAGGGGTCTGGATGCACACTGGCCTGACCCCTCTGCAGGCCTGAGGGCTCCGCACCATGGGCACCGAGGTCCTACAGGAAGGACCCCATTCTCCAGTGCCTCCTCCCACTCCTGTCATCAGGACCTCGTGGGGGATCGCACAGCCACGTGAAGCAGCGGAGGTGAGAGCAAGTCCCCCTCCCTCATTCCCTGAGCCAGTGACTGAGACACACAGCCAAGCCCCATCTGGGATGACCTTCCTACCCCCAGCACACTCCTGAGCCAGTGACTGGAAGACACAGCCATGCCCCACGTGCTCCCTACCCCCAGCACACTCCAAGCCCTCAGAATTCTGCTGGGGGCTGGGATCCAGGGGGTGACAGCCCTACAGGTCGGCCTCCCTGAAACACCTGCCTGTCCACGGGAGGGGCCTGACTCAAGGCTGGGCCTCCCTGCCACAGGGATGCGTCCGCAGCAGACCCAGGTTCTCCTGTGGCCACCTGCTGCCCGGCACCTGCAGCAGACATCCACGCTGCCTGGCTCCTCTCATGCTTGTCCACGCCACTCCCTGCAGCAGGGCTGGGGTTGGGGAATTTCACTTGCTTGCTCCCAGTGGGGAGACTGAGGCCAGAGAGACCTGACTCGCTGATTCTGCAGGCAGCAGCCGGGACAGAGCAAGACAGAGCCCAGGTCGATGTGGGTTCGCTCACCTGATTCCACGAACTAAAGTAGCCAACACAGTTCTGCCCCAACCCTGCCAGGCCCCGAGGCCCTGGGGAGACCTCCGTCCTGCAAATGTGTGGTCCTAGAGGGCTGGTCTCCTCTCAGAATGCCAGGACCCCTTCAGCAAGATGAGCCACAGAGCACAGTGGCCAAGTTCTGGTGCCCAGGCAGGCACCTGGGCCAGCAGGGACAGGGGCACCAGGGCTAGCCGCCTGGAGGAGGGGACACGGCTGAGGAGCCGAGGCCAAGAAGGGGCGGTGGGAGAGGCAGGTGTGGTGAGGGCCTGGGGAGAGCTAGGGGAGAGCTAGGGGAGAGCTAGGGGAGAGCTAGGGGAGAGCTAGGGGAGAGCTAGGGGAGCGCTGGGACCTGGAGTCTGGAAAGGGGGCATTGAAGTCAAGGGGTGGGGCCGGGGCTGGCCCACAGTGGGGCTGGACACCCCCCTGCAGCCTGGTACCTAGTTTTAAGATCGCATCCGTTCTTCCAAGGCTGTCCCCCAAGGGTGGGCAGTGAGGGGCAAGGGTGGAAGCAGGAAGGAGCATGAGGCCTGACTGCAGGGAAAGGGGACAAAGGTTCCCAACACCACCTGGAGTCGCGCGGGGGCTGTAAGCAGCGCTGGGCCGGGGGCGTGTCCATAGCTGCATCTCCCCCACGGCCACTGGCTCCAGGGCCCTCAGAGCTCCTCCTCCCGTCCCCTCCTCGGGACTTGGATTTTCTTTGGCTTCTGTGAGCATGGCTTCCAGTACCTCAGACACTCTTTTGGTGAAGCAGCAACCGGGAATCGACTGGCACTTCTGCGCCCTCCTCCCGGACCCCGCCCTGGGCTGGCGGCCCAACACCACCACACGGGCCTGGCTCACCTCTGTCCCATAACAGACCCCGGACGCCCCTCCCGAGCCCTCGGCCTCTGTGGAAAAGGTTCACATCCTCCAGCAGATACTGGGCCTGTCCCCTCGACCCCCACACCTCTGTCCCAGGGCACCCGTGTCTGGGTAAAAGACATCTGAAGGGTATGGGTGGCCTTGGGGAGGCAACAGCAGGCTGCCCAGGTGGACCCTTGGGGCAGGGCTGGCCTCAGCACTCTGGACTGCAGGGATCAGTGTCCAGCCCAGGGCCAAGGCTGGCTGAAGGGGGCTTTCCCAAGCTGCCCCTGCCTGCCTGTGGCCCTGCCCCTATCCCCGGGTGTCCCCTCCAGGCCTGCCTGGGCCCCGCCCCCAACACTGGGTGTCCCCTCCAGTCTTGCTTGGACCCTGCCCCCAACACTGGGTGTCCCCTCCAGGTCTGCCTGGACCCTGCCCCCCGCTGTAGGTGCCACCTGCCTGGGAAGAAGAGATTGAGGAATCCAAGGTTCAGCCTGCAGTGGTTCCTACTCCACAGGGAAACTGAGGCACAGAACTGGCCCTGATGCCACCCGTCCACCCCAGGCCAACCGCCTCACCTCCAGCCTCTCTCAGCCTTGCCCAACCTTCAGCAGGGCTCTGTCCCCAGTGACTGCCAGGCTTCTCTAGGGAGACCCTGGGAACCGGCACCTTCCCACTGCCTCCCTGCCTGGCCCTCCCTCCCCACCTGGCCCCAAAACTGCACCTGCCAGGGCACCAATGCCCTGCCCCCTCACTAAGTCGCTTACCACCAGCCCAGCCTCCACAGGTCCCCTCCGCTCTCTGAGGACACAGCCCTTCCTCCTGAGCTGGGGCTCCTGGACCCCAACCCTGACTGCCTTCCTGCCATGCCCCCTCCCAGAAACAGGTCCACACTCCGGGCCTGGGGACGCACGGACCCCAGTCTGTCTCTCCAAACCTTCAGTCCATCGTCCAGCTGCCCACTGGCCGCTCTCAGCAGGTGCTTCTGAGACAGACTACACTCGTCCAGGCCACACGGAGCCAGCAGCCTGCCCTCTACCCACCGCCCTGCTGTCCACACCTGGGATGGGACTCACCCCCACTGCCCACTGCCACCCAACACCCACTGCCAGCCAGCAACCACTGCCACCTATCACCCAACATCCACTGTTACCCAACACCCACTTTCACCCCATTGCCCACATTCCCGCTGGCTGTGGGCCCCCGCCATCCCCATCTAGCCAAACTCTGCCATCTGCGCCCACCCAGACTCCCACCTCCCTGTCCCGGAGCTCTGGGGGACCGGCTCCAGGTGCCTACCTGAATGTGCTGTCACGGGTCCCGGGGCTGAGGCGGCCACTCCCTAAACCAAAGAGAACCTGGTCAGTGTACCCTTTAGGCTTCCCCTCATCCTATGCCCAGGGCCCCTGAGAACAAGGACACTACCCCCAAGAGTGACACAGGCTGGGGGACCTGGGCCACCTACAGGGAGTCCAGCCCGCCATCCCTGATGCCTTCTCTCCAGGGCCCTTTGCCCCACAGCCCCCAGATCTCCAGGTCGCTCACCACCTTGACCACACAGCCTGGTGGTAGCCCCCATAACCACCCATGGGGGAGGTGGAGGCTTTGGCCTCTGGGGAGGGGGCGGTTCTGAGCCCCAAGGCCCAGTCCAGCCCCACTATTTTGCTACTACAGGTTTATTGGAGGAGGACCACGCCCATATGAGGTAGTATCTGGGCCTCAGAGCTGAGAGGCTCAGAGCTGAGAGGCTCAGAGCTGAGAGGCTGCTCCAAGGGCTGCCATGATTTCCTTTCTCATCCTCCAGGGTGTGCGCCCTGCTCTCAGAAGCTGGCGGGGAGGGATCCGCAGGGGGGTGCCCCTGGAAAATGCCCCACTGGGAGGCCCCAGAGGAGATGAGCAAAGTTCCCGACACTGCAGGTCACCTCCTCCTGAGCCTCTGAAGTGGGCTGTGCCTAACAGGAGGTGCCCTGAGTCCCTGAAGGAGCCTGGGGTGGGGTCTGAAGGCCGCTTGCGGGAGGAACGGCGGCCCACGGCTGAGCATAGAGGCTTCCTGCCTTCCTCCAGCCCGGACAAGCGGAAGCGAGGCCAGCCCAAGAGAATGCCCCACACGGGCTCCGGCGGCCGGTGGCCAGAAAGAGGGCGCAGCACCCTCCTGTTCTGAGGGGCCTCGTGTGGGTGGGTGCTGGGAGGCTGGAAACTGAGGCTCAGAACCTATCTCTGGTCCAGGCCAGACTCAAGGGCAGACAGTCACAGGGCTGGGACCCCCAGATGAGGCCCCCTGAGCAAACTGGGCTGGTCTAGACTTTGAGAACCTTTGACAAAAGGCCGACACCCCCTGAGGTCATCACACACACAGGCCCCAAGGGGGCCCGTCCCCAGCTGCTCCCGGGGGGCCAGGCCGGCAGGTGCGGATGGTGCAGAGCCCAAACCAGCGAAGGTCCACCCTGTCCCCTGCCTGGCCAGGCCCAGGTGCTCCGGGGGCAGCAAGAAAACAGAACCAGTGTCTGACCCATCTGGTTGCCCCCGGCCTGAGGAGAAGCCTCCAGCCTGTTGGCCACCCACCTGGGAACTGGGTACCGAGGCTGGAGACCCTGGGCTGCTGTAGCAGGCAGTGGCCGGAACCTTCAGACACCCGGAGCGAGGCCACTCACAAGCATAGTGGGGAGCGGCAGATGGCCCGGCCGCACCCCCACAGGGAAAGGCTGTCCAGGGACCCAGCCCCGCCAGCAAGAGGCTCCACGACCCCACACCACCCCCAGGCCACCCTGGGGTGCCCCAGTCTGCTCTCGCCAGAGGGACCTTGCCCCCCCCAGCCTTGGGCAGACGACGGTGGGAACACACAGGGCTGAGTGTGGATGACGGGGACTCTGCCGGGAGGGTCCGGGTTCCCAGCAGAGGAGCCACAGCCTCACTCGTCCTGCAACAAGACTGGCGCGGCCACCTCCGGAGGTGACAGCAGCGAGGGTGATGGTGACGGGCAGCTACTGAGTACCTGAAGAATGACCTCATCACACCCTCAGTGCAGCCCAGCGAGGCGAGGTCTGTCATCCCATTTACAAGAGGAAACTGAGGCTCAGAGACCAGGCACCGCTGCAGAAACCCCTCCAGGACTCCCCTGTCAGAGTCGGTCAGGGGCAGGCCAGGGGCAGGGTGGCAGGTCAGGGGCAGGGTGGCAGGTCAGGGGCAGGGGGGCAGGCCAGGGGCAGGGGGGCAGGCCAGGGGCAGGCAGGCACCCCCACAGGATGTGCAGGGGTGACTGAGACAAGCCTGGAACTCGGCCCCATATCGGGGAGACAGGCAGGGCAGGGACCCCGGGCTCAGAGCCAGCCCCTCCTGGCCTGGGGTTGGAGGGTCCGCCCTCACCCAGACCTGAGGAGCCCCATGCCTGAGCCTGAGGGAGTACTGCAGACCCCACTGTGGTCTCCAGGACACACCCAGGAATGTGCCACATGTGCACACACACCACACATACCCCACACACCACACGTGCACATCCCAGCCCGAGGGCTGCCCAGAGCCGCCTCTCCACACACCACAGCGTTCAGGCCCAAGGCTGACAAGACGGATGAGGCCTCTCGCACTCTCTGAAACAAAGGCCAAGGAGGCCGGCCCGGGGACTTGGGATCCAGGCAGAGGCCCCGCGTGGAGGGCAGGTGAGGTGGCTGGGCAACGGAAGAGGACAAGGTGGTAAGAAAAGAACATTTTATTTCCAGTCTAAGAATGTATTACAAACAGTGTCCGGGTTTAGAAACGGCCGACAGCGAAGGGACAAAGCGAGGTGTTCACAGGGAGCTGCTGGACCGTGGTCAGGGCCGGCTCCAGGCTGTGCGAGAGGAAGCCACCCAGGGCGTGGACAATGGGCCAGACGCAGCCCCGCCTCCGACGCAGAGCTGCTGAGCACCAAGCGGGGCTGAGCCCTGGGCCTGGGGAAACACGGGCAGGGCCCGGAGCCTCCAGATGCCAAGGCAGCGTTTGGCCCCGCGAGGAGGTGCAGACGGGAGCCAGCGGGGCTCCCACCAGGGACCTGGGGCACGCGGCCCCCCCCCGCGGGGTCAGCAGGCGAGGCTGCTCCGAGGACACTGCGGGCTGCCAGAGCCTTCCCACAAGGGCTTCATCGGGGAGCAGTGGGGCCCAGACCCCAGAGACCCCGCAAGTCACGCAGCCTCCTGAGCTTCAGTTTCTCCCATAGAAGGGGACGAGGGCCAGCGCGCACGGAGCCCGGGGGCCTGGGCTGGTGAAGCCCGGGTGTCCGGGGTCTCTGTGGTGGCTTGGTGCTTAGCAGGTGGTATGACTGCACCAGAGAGGTGACGGGGAGAACCGGCCACCCAGGAAGCGGGCGTGAGGCCCAAGGAGGACAAGGCCAGCAGCGGGGCCTCCAGCCCTTGGTGCCCCAGTGCGAGGCACCAGCCAGCAGAGATGCAGCACCCGCCTGATCCTCAGGGTTGGGGGACACAGAGTGAAGCAGCTGGGCCTTGGGGCTCTGGTGACCCCGACCTGCTGGACCCAGAGCCCCTGCGCCTCCCAGAACTCACCTCCCCGTCAGCCCCTTCCTCCACTGGCAGCCACAGGGCGCCCCCTCCAACTCCCCTCTCCGGGAGACCCCCCAGTCCCTCCCACAGAACACAGAGCAAGGAGGCCAGCGCCATCTCCTCTCCCGTCTGGGGGCACATTCAGCCCCTTTGCAGCCACGAGGCCAGATCTGTGGCCCTCAAGGAGGGGGGTTTACCTTGAGTCCTCCACAGACTGGACATGCCGAAAAGAAAGCCGGGGATGGCCCCGCGTGGGGGCTGCCTGCTTCCCAGGGCTCTCCGGGGGCCGGGCTGGGCAGTGTGGCCTCGCTGCCCTGGGGGGCCTCCATCACCAGGCCCCGCCGTCTCGTGCCCAGCCAGCCAGAGGGACACCCGGCGGACGTCTGGCCGCCTGAGTCCCCGGCCGCACTGTCGCCGGGGCTGCCCTGCGAGGCGGGGCTGTGGTCCCTGGGAACCAGGCGAAGGCTGCGTGGTGTGTCGTAGTGGGGCCTCAGGGAGGTGGGCACCTGGTACTCGACGGCCCCAGGCAGGCAGGCGCACAGGCTGGGCTCGGGCGCCCCGGCTGCTGGCAGGCTGAGCAGTGAGCCCAGTTCGTCCGTGGCCCGCCACACGTCCAGGCTGCTGCCCGCATAGGACGAGAGGCTGCCGGAGTAGGAGGAGTGGCTGCCAGTGGCGATGCCGCTGTCCGAGGAGCTCTGGCGGCCGACCTCCTGCAGCTGCCGTGGCCGCAGCGGCTTGGGAGGTGGCCTTGAGGCACCCAGCATGGCTTCCCCGGGGGCCTGGGCAGCTGCTGGTCTAGGCCCCTCCTGCGACGTGCTGGCCGACGACAAGGACTGCTCTGGCCATGCGGTGAGCCGGCTGCTGGCGCTGACGTCCAAGTGGCTGGCCTCCGAGGATGAGCTGGACAGGCTGCGGTCATCCCCTGAGACAGAGCAGGAAGCCAAGGCAGCTTGGGGGGGTGCAGGGGGCTGGGGAGGGCTCAGGGTGGGGCTGACGCCTGGTGGACCCCTACGGGCCAGCACTCTCTGGTCTCGCCCCACCCCTCCCAACCCCTGGGGGCTACAGCAGAAACCTGGCTTCACCAACGACAGCCCCTCTGCCCTTCGTCCACTCCTGTTTTTGTCTGTCCTTCTGCCACCTGCTCTACTAGGGCCTGGGCCCCTCCCTCTCTGCATCCCTGTCACTACCTTAGTCCCAGCCTCCTCCTCTCCCCCAGAGCTCCCCACCCTCCCTTCCTAAGAGACCTGGGCTCCATACCCAGCCATCCCCACTAACTTCCAGGGCCTCCTGGGGCAGCTGGCCCTCCGCACCGTCCCAGCCCCAAGGCTGGCCTGGACATCCCTTCCCGAGAACTTCCCAGGCCCTGCCAGCCTGGACGTGAGGTCCCAGCTGTGCCCACATACCTTGACTCACCGCCTGCCCTCACCACGCTGGCATCTTTGCCTCACTCCCTGTCTCCCTCCCCACGGGGGATGAGAAGCACACCCAGGCTGCCTCCCGCCTGCCAGGCCGGGCCTCGCGCACACGTGGGAAAGCCGCTTTCATCTCTGCCGCCTCTCTAAGCTGCCTGCTCTGCCTTCCAGGGCTCCCAAGGGGAAAGCAGTTGTGAGTCACCCCCAGGAAGGCAAAAGCTCACTGCAAACCTGAGTCCCCTCCTCCTGGGGCAGGGCAGGAGGGGAGATGGCCACTGTCTGCTCGGTGCCCTCTGGGGAACAGGCAGTGATCCGAGAGCACTTGGCCCTGGGAACACAGGTCGCCCATGCAGCCACCCTTCTGGGAGCACAGCGGCCTCTCCTGCCCTGCCAGCCCCTTCCACCGCCTCCTCTCCCCACGATGGCAACAGAGCCAGAGCCACCGGCAGCTGAGGAGGCACCTCTGCTCCTGAGCAGCTAGCTCGCCTGCCTGAGAGCCTTTTGTCTGGGCACAGAAGGTAAAACCAACACGCAGGGCCTTGGTCTCCCCCGGCCACAAGCTGGTGGGCAGGAAAGGATTCAAAGGCCCTCAGGCCAGAACCACCCTTCCCATCAGCATCTCAGACCAGAGTGTAGTAAATGTGGAATTGTAAGTGAAGGAAGGAATGAGCTGAGCAGGGGAAGAAGGAGGGAAGGAATGAATAGGTGGGAGACGGAAAGAAGGAATGAGCAGGAAGGAGAAAGAAAGAATGAATGAGCAAGAGGGAAATGAAGGAATGAATGAGCAGGGGGGAGAATGAAGGAATGAATGAGCAAGAGGGACATGAAGAAATGAATGAGTAGGCAGAGAATGAAGGAATGAATGAGCAGGAGGGAAATGAAGGAATGAAGAGCAGGGGGAGAAGGAAGGAATGAATGAGCAGGGGGAGAAGGAATGAATGAGCAGGTGGAGAAGGAATGAATGGATGAGCAGGTGGGGAAGGAATGAATGAATGAGCAGGAGGGAAATGAAGGAATGAATGAGCAGTGGGCGGGGGAAGGAAGGAATGAATGAGCAGGGGGAGAAGGAAGGAAGGAAGGAATGAGCGGTGCGAGAAGGAAGGAATGAGCAGGGGGGGAAGGAAGGAAGAAAGGAGCAGGAGGAAGAAGGAAGGAGCAGGAGGAGAAGGAATGAATGAATGGGGGGAAGGAAGGATGAATGGGGGGAAGGAAGGATGAATGGGGGGAAGGAAGGATGAATGGGGGGAAGGAAGGATGAATGGGGGGAAGGAAGGATGAATGGGGGAAGGAAGGAGGAATGGGGGGGAAGGAAGGATGAAGGTGGGGGAAGGAAGGATGAATGTGGGGAAGGAAGGATGAATGTGGGGGGAAGGAAGGATGAATGTGGGGGAAGGAAGGATGAATGTGGGGGAAGGAAGGATGAATGTGGGGGAAGGAAGGATGAATGTGGGGGAAGGAAGGATGAATGTGGGGGAAGGAAGGATGAATGTGGGGGAAGGAAGGATGAATGTGGGGGAAGGAAGGATGAATGTGGGGGAAGGAAGGATGAATGAGTGGGTTGGGGGGAAGGAAGGAATGAATGAGCAGGAGAGAGAAGGAATGCATGAATGAGCAGAGGGAGCCAGCAGCCCCCACACATGCATGGAAGCCTCCTGAGCTCTCCCACTGGAGACTTAGCTGAAGTCCCACAGCCCAGGCCAGCCCCTGGCCCCACCTCCACTGCCCGGCCGGCCTGCATGCGAGAGGAGGCTCAGCCGCTTCTCCAGCTGCAGGGTTTCCAAGGCTTCCTGGGCCACGCGCTCCTCCACAGTCGAGGGTCCCGGGGGACTTGGGTCTGCAGCAGAGAGAAGATTCAGTGGAGGAAGTGGCCCCCACCGCCCACCCTTGCCCGCAGGCACCAGGCCCAGCCTGACGCGGTGGTGGCCCCCTCCGTGGAGTGGCAATCCCCTGGGAGTCCCCGCTTCTCCCCATGCCTCAGCCCAGATGCTGGGCCTCAAATGCTGCACCCACACCACCCCTATCCAGGCCACCATCCGCCCTGCTGGGTCCCTGCACCCATGGATGGCCCTGCCACCTGTCCACTCACCAGGACCCCACGCCAGACCCCTCTTCCTCGCCACGGAGGTTTTCAATTTTTTGTTCCAAAAATGGCCAGCCCCTCCCCCATCCCCAGGGCCAGTCTCACTGCAAGAGGGGCTGCCTGCCCCTGATTCACAGTGCCCATTTCTCACAGGCTCCTCTCTGCCTGGGGAAATGCCCGCCCACCTTGTGGCGGTCCCATTCCCTGGGGCCTTGGATGGAGCCTCATACTGTGCCCGAGGCTCAGAGCACAGTGGTCTGCGGACCCTCGGCCCCACCCAGCCCCTCCCTCAGGGCTGCATCCAGGGAGCAGCAGCCCCACCCTCTCTGGTCATCGTCCCTGTGTCCTCTGGGTCCTCTGGGACTGAGTGGCAGGAAACCTCCCTTCTCACTGGCCCCTCGGCACCGCTGTCCCGAGCCTCAGCATCACCGCCCTGGTCCCCAAGCCCCCCGCCCGTGCTGGGATGTCCCAGGCACTAAGTGATGTGGGCACTAGGATGAGTGGCTGCCGTGCTCCAAACAGCAGGGCTCAAGACCCCGCCCCTTCCACATCCATGGCACCCACGGCCACGGCCGTCCCAAAGAGTTTCCCTGGCAGGGAAGCCACAGCTACAAGCACAAGAGCAAACCGACCCCGTCCTGCTCCAGGTGGCCTCCTCTGGGCCTCCAGGACACACCTCCTGCCACCCACCTTGGGGGCACCTGCAGGACTGAGCCGAAACAGGTCCAAGGACCTGCTCTCCCCAAAATCCAGGAGCAGTGGCAGCATGGAAAGTTTACACCAAATTCTGCAGCACGCAGAGGACTGGAAGGTACAGTCCCCAGCCTGGGACACCTGGATCAGAGCCTCGGTGGACAGAACCGAGCCTGGCGGAGGTTGCAGCCGGACATCCTGACCCCGTAGTCAGGGTTCCGGAGAAACAAACAGAAAGCAATGGTGTCCCTGTCCGGGTTCACATCTAGGCTGAAGAGGCCCCATCCCTGATAAGACACTGTCCTCTGCTGACACCTTCAGGCGCCCAGCTGGGGCCCTTGAGCACAACAGGAGGCCCCATCAGGACCTCAGAACAGGGCTCTCCCCACGGGCAGGCGAGAGCTCACAGCACCCGGCCCAGGAACGCAAGAAGGACCTGGAGGAGCCTCCCCCAGCCTCCGGGTATGGCCGCCCCAAGGCACTGCCCGGGTCAGCCTGGGGCCCTGCCAGCCCATGACCCTGTGGCCCCATCTGTAGCATTGCCAGGGACAGGGATGGGGCCAGTACAAGCCTCTCTCCTGTCCCCTCCCTACCTGTGCCTGGGAGGGTGGAAGGCAATGGCAGCCAAGGCTGTGCCAGCTCAGGCCCCAGTCCCTCCCAACACAGGCTGCTGGTGGCCATGGAGCCCACAGGCCACTCGGCTTGGCAGCTCCTGGCGCTTTCACCGACACATTCTGCCACGTGGGCAGGACAGCAGGCGCCAGTCTTGGCTCCTTGGTGTGCTGAGGGTCCAGGCTGAAGACAAGCACAGTGACAGGACAGCACCGCTGTCCCTCAGCCCTCGGGTGTTCCGACCAGGGCCCCCCACAAAGCCAGTGCCCTGCAGTTGGGATGAAGAGCGGCCCTCGGTGACACCAGGGTCAGGACACAGGACACAACCTCCCACCGTTTCCCATCCAGTAGCTGGTGGGCAAGACACAGATCGACTCCCAGCTCCACCATGCACCCCCTGAGCCTCTCAACCTCCTCTGCAAAAGGGTGCAGCAACGGTGCACCCCCGTGGAGGCCGGGCCAAGAAGGTAACATGCACGCCGTGCTCGGAGCGTGGCGGACGCCGGGCCTCTGAGCCCTTCCCTCCTGCTGCTGGCTGGTCTGGCTGCCTCTGGGCCTTGGTGTCCACGTGCAGAAGACCAAGGGGCTGGACCTCCTGCATCTCTCGGCCCCTCCGGTGGGTCACAGCAGACTCAGCACAGGAGGATGGCAAAAAGCCCAGAGCATGAGGATGCTGCCCGCAGGGCTTTGTCGTGGGAGCCCTGTGATCACAGGGCGCCAGTGTTTTGCCAGCCTGGGCAGACGACCCCACCAGCCCAGACCTTCCCATGACTCCAGCCTGCAGGGGCTGGGCCCACGGCTCCTCCGGCGGGGTGCTGCCCAGCATAGTGTCCCAGCTCCACCAGCACCTCCAGGTGGTCTGAGGCCCCCACACACCTGCAGAGGCACAGCTGGGAGGCACAGCTGCAGGCCGAGGCCCTGACAGCAGAGCTTTCTGAGAGCTCCCAGCTGACTCTGACAAGGACATCCTGTGGAGTGGGGTCTGGGACTTCTGGTCAGCCCAACTCCCTCCAGCTGTCAGCAATGACCCTGCCTGGGGCTGGCCCGCTTGCTGCCGCGGTGGGGCCTATCCTTTCTAGCGGCTGTCCCAGGCCGACCCTCCCCAGCATCCTCTACCCAGTGCTGCTTCCCTGGCACGGCCTCTGTTCCCTGGGAACCGCCTGAGGGGAGCAGGAGAGAGCGGGGAGCAGGAGAGAGCGGGGAGCAGGAGAGAGCGGGGAGCAGGAGAGAGCGGGGAGCAGGAGAGAGCGGGGAGCAGGAGAGAGCGGGGAGCCCTCCTCAGCCTCCTGCTGCCTCTGCCTGTCCCTGTCCCCGCCCTGCACCCTGCACACCCTCGCCTTGCACAGTCGAACACGCCGACCATGTCATCCATGCCAACCACACCATCCATACCTGCTGGCAGCCATTAGGCAGGAAGACGCCTGCAGGGGTGCGGCCGCGCCATCCAGCATAGCAGGGCAGTGGGGAGGGCCCTGGCCACAGGTGCCACCTCCCTCCTCCCAGGGCCACCCCCTATGTGACTGTGCTGGTGTGGGCAGCAGGCATTGGGGCTGTGGCCAGGGGAAGGGAGGCCCGGGTGCCCGCCCCATATGCCGCTCACCTCTGTCCTCCTAGTCACCCTTCCCCCGCCACACCCCTGCTGGGGTGCCAGTGCCAGGAGGCACCACATATGAGCTTGCTGCTCACCCACCACCAAGGCCTGGGCCTTGGCCTCACTTGGACATTGGGTCAAGCGCTGCCCGCGTGGAGCTAGAGGAGCGTTCGAGAGAACCCATGGAGGCACCCAGCCCAGCACCTGCCCCAACCTGGAGAGCCCCACTGTGCCCAGGCACCAGGGCCCCCAGTGGGTCCAGCAACATCCCTGGCCAAGGACTCCTGCAGAGAGTGCCACAGCCACAGCCAAGAAAATGCAGGTGAGACAAGACGAGACCCCCTCAGCCCAACGTGCCCTGAGACCCCACAGCCAGGTGACCTCCCGAGGTGGCCTTGGGCCTAAACACCGGGCTCAGGCAGAGCCAGTCCCGACCCCAGCTGCACTCAGATCAGCTGCTACTGGGCCGCCAAGCTCGGGCAAGGCATTCCCTGCTCCTGGGCGTGGAAGATGGTGGCGGTGAGTCAGAGGGTCTCTTACTGCACAGGGGCAGCTGTGGCTGACGGTCCCAGCCAGAAAGCTCTAGGCCCAAGCATCCCAACAGCTCAGACCCCCGAGAGAGCACCTGCAGGTGGGAGTCCAGCCCCGACTGCTCTGAAGCCCTCAGCAGGGCTTGCCGAAGCCCAGGCTGCAGTCTTGGCCTGGAAAGGCTCTGGTTCCTTAGCTGGGGGTGGGAAGGGTGGCCGCCTAACCAGGCAGACGAATCACCATGGCCCACCGCCCCAGGACATCGCACAGCCCGCCAAGCGTACCCTCCCTAGTCGGGGCCAGGCTCACACACCTGGGAGAACCGGCCGCAGCCCAAAGGGGCCCTTGGTGGGGGAGATGCCTCGGACGATGCAGTCGAACAGGAAGCTGATCTGCTCCCCCTCGGCCGAGGACAGGAAGAAGACACCAGCCCCTGCAGAGGAAGGACAGAGACAGGTCAGCCTGGCCCGAGTGCGGGCTGGGGACCCTGAAGAGGAGGAACGCAGGAAACCAGAGCAAACTCCGTCAAGAGCCGACAACACCCCACCTGGCCCCGTGAAGCCGGGTGCCCAGAGCCCACACCCCATCCAGCCCCACGAATCCGGGTGCTCAGAGCTGACACCCTGCCTGGCCCCGCGAATCCGGGTCCCCAGAGCCTCTGCACTCCCCACGGATCCCACCGCGCCCTTCTAACTTGGCAGCATCTTGGAACAGCTTGGGCTGCTGGGCGCCAGGGTGAGTGCTGCTCCGCCCATCCTAGGTCCCACAGCGGACAGGGCGTGGGGAGGAGGGAGGGGGTGCCCCGCCCACACACCTGCCTTCCGGGCCTGCTTTGGGGATGGGGGGTGTGGCTGCTCCGCCACCCGGCAGGTACTTGATCAGTCCCTCCTGTGCCCCAAGAGCCCAGCGACCCCGCCCCATCAGCCGTCTTGAGGGCAAATGAAGCAGCCAGGAGATCCCAGAGACATCAAGTAGGGTCCCCTCAGGGCTCCACGGCCACAGGAGAAGGGAGCTGTGCCATCTGGAGCTGGGGTGACATCCTAGGACGGCTGCGGTGTGACCGCACCTCCTTCCCTGGGGCTGTCGTGAGGGCTGCGATCAGATGTTTGCACAAGGCGTGGCACAACACCTGCCCACAAGTCCGTCGCTGCTGGCCAGCACCGTGTCCTCCCCACCTTAGGCGGCCTCCCCACCTTCTCAGTCATCTTTCATGGGGAAGCTGGAGCTCCCAGTGTGTGGGTGCCACCCTGAGGTCGTGTGCAGCATGCTGGGGCCAGCACCCACCCCTGCACCCCCACAGCAGCAGGAGGGCCCCTGGGGGCCACCTCAGCGTCGCTGGCAGAGCGACACAGGCCCCACCCATGGAGAAGCCCCAGCTGCGAGTCACGGGGGCGCTGCCCTCCCCGCCAGGGGTGAATGAAGCGCTGGTGGCTGCGTGAATGGACGACTGGGCTGGCTGCACCCGGCTGGACACTCCGGCTGGCGTCACCTCACAGGAATCCCGCCCGCTCTGGGGCCTCTGCCCATTGCCCAAAGAAAGGCACGCAGGAGGGAAGGCGCCGGGGTGGGCAGGAGGGGTGGGGAAGGGAAATCTCAGCATTAGAACCCCCGCTGCCTGCCACCCAGTCACGCTCCGCCTTCACAGAATGCAGGCTGTAGATTCCAGGGACACGGAACTTGGGCCAGCCCCGACACGTGGCAATGCTGCCGGGCCCTTGGCGGCCACCCCGGGCACACGAGGGCGAGCAGTACCTGGTGCTGTGGATGCTTCCTTCCATGTAGTGTCCCCAGACCGGGTCATGGGAGAGCGCCATTCCTGCTTTAGCGACGAGGACACTGAGTCCCAGAGAGGGGATGCCACCTGTCCACCGTCACACAGCCACGAGGTGGACTCAAGTCCAAGTCCCCTGACAGCTGGGCACCTCCTGGCCCCATGGGGCTTCCAGTCCTGCTGTGGGTGAGGGGTGCTCCTGACCCGAAGCAGAGGTGGGGCATGGAGGGGAAGCCAATGCCCGCTGCGATGCCATCCAGGAGGGCGCCCCGAGAGGCTCAGGAGGGCGGTGATGGGGTGGGGCTCCCAAGCTGGGTAGGGTGGGCAGAAGAGAGCCTGCACCAAGCCCTGGGGGCAGGCGAGGAGAAGGCCGTCATGCTGTCTGCTGGCCAGCTCACTCACAGTGCCAGGCAGTCGCTCCCCGTCCCCGTGGTCTGGCCCTCCCCGTGAAGGGCTCAGCCGGCACCGGCCCCAGCTCTCACGAAAGGCCCGGCTCTCTAATCCTGAGCTTACAGACAGCTGGCAGCAGCCGCGGGACAGTGAGTCCCCCGACTATAAAAAACCGCATTACGGAAGGAGTGGAGCCGGCCCCACATTCCATGGGGCGTCTTGGAGCATCACTCACCCCGAAGACGCAGTTGGCTTGGCAAGGCCTGGAGCACAGCCCACCACCAGCCTCGGGCCCCCACGTGCCCACATGGCACCCTCGCCAGCCACCCCCATCCACGCCAGCATCAGTGGCCCTGACATCAGTGGCCCTGGAGGAAGACGCCCATCTCCAATGCTGGTCTGCCGAGTCGTCGGGCCATGGCCTCCCAGGACACCGCACGGCTGGGCTCTCGCTGATCCTCCCTGGGTTCATGCTCCACCCCTGCCCACAGGCTCCCTGCTCCTACCCAGCCCCCCACAGTCTTGGGAATGCTCAAAGCTCCCTCTGCACACCTGGTGTGCCTACATCTCCACTCAGGAGGCTGCCGGCCCACACTTCACACCCCTACATCTCCACTCAGGAGGCTGCTATCCCCACCTTCCATACCCCTGGCCACCTAGAACACCCCTGACCTTTCCAAACTCAGGTTACATGACGACACCTTTCATGATGCTTTTCTTGGCCCCTGGCCCCCTTCAGTCCCCTGACTCCAACAGCCCCTCTGTGATGCTCTCACGGATGCCTCCTCTGGGGCAGAGCCCCGTCTGCTGCTGTCCCAGCCACCAGGCTGAGCACCTTGCTGGCAGGGAGCCTGAGCTGCCTGTGGTCTCAGTGTCCAGCCAAGCACCCATAACCAGGAGACCCCCAGTGCTCAGCCTTGGGTGGAAGGAAATAGGTGAGAGGCTGCCGACCCCGCCCTGCCCTTCCCCAACACAGCGTGTGCATGTTCCCTGTTTGCCTGTGTGTTTGGGGAAAGGCGGGAAGAACAGGGCCTGCCCCATTTTGCTGTATCACACAGGTGTGGCCGCAGCAAAGCCAGCCACTCGCTTCCCCTACCCCTGTCCTCGGAGGCTGCCCCTTCTCAAGAGGCTGGTCCACTCCCTCCCTGGAATCAGGGCCAGCCAGTAATGGCTCTGGCATAAAGTGGCACGACGGATGCTCTCCCAGCCCTGCCCCAAGACCATCAGAGGCCTGGCAGCTTTTGCTTCTGCCCTCTTGGAACCTATTGAGAAGCCCAGGCTGTCCTATCAGAGGGTGAAGTTCCTGGAGGGAAACTGAGCAACCCAACCAACAGCCGACACAGCATTTTCCTGGGCCTTTGGGCCCCACCATAGCCAAATGCCACTGCCTGAGGGACCCCAGGCAGCACCCCATGGGTCAGAGATAAGCTGTCCCCACTGAGCCCCGTCCAGATCCCTGGCCCACAGAATCGCCAGCTAGGGAACAGCCGCCAGCCGCTAGGTGTGGGAGGGTTTGTCACACCGCAGGAAACAGCGTGGGAGACACAGAGAAGCAGGACAGAGTCAGCAGGATGCAAGCAGAAGGCCACGGCCTGCGGGGCTCAGGGCAGCTCCCACTCTGGACAGAGACTGGGGTTGCCGAGCTGCAGGCAAACCTCACCCACGTTACAGTCGCACCTGCTTCCTAAGAAACATGTCTCCAGTGAAAAAGCTGCCGCACTAACTCCAGGACTCACTGGCTTGAGAAAGAAAATGCTGTTTCACACAGACATTCAATGAGCCAATTAGATCTAAGACGGTTTCTCTATTTGGAATAATAGCCTTGGAGATTTGCGCCTCGTGGTTTCCACACAGCCTCAGACATATCTACCAATTTGAGCCAATTAGATCTAAGACGGTTTCCGTTTGAGTAATCTTGGCTGCCCTCGTGGTTTCCACACCCATGACAAGATCAGACTCAAATTTGACGGCCCCAACATCAGAGATCTAAGACGGTTTCCGTTTGAGTAATCTTGGCTGCCCTCGTGGTTTCCACCAGACGTCAATGAGCCAATCAGATCTAAGACTGCCCTCGTGGGTTTCCACGCAGACATTCAATGAGCCAATTAGATCTAAGACGGTTTCCATTTGAGTAATCTTGACTGCCCTCGTGGTTTCCACACAGACGCTCAATTAGGCAATTAGATCTAAGACGGTTTCCGTTTGAATAGTCTTGACTGCCCTCATGGTTTCCACGCAGACACTCAATGAGCCATTTAGGTCTAAGATGGTTTCCGTTGGAATAATCTTGAGTGCCCTCGTGGCTGCCCCTTGATGTCAGAATCTTCAGTGCTCAGAATCCCAGCTCCTCAGAGAACAAACAGCAGGGTGACCAGGGTGCCCTGGACAGCTCATGCCAGGCAGGCGTAGGCAGGACTGAGAAGTCTTGATAACATGACCTCAGCACCCCCCACCCCCAAGGTGGCAGCTTCTTGTGCACGTGGGAGTGGCCCCACCTGGTGAGTCTCGGATGGAGGAAGGCCTGGAGGCTGGCAGTGGGTGTCAGCTCCCACCCCTCCTCTGCCCTCCTGAAGCAGCTCCAGTCCAGGGGCACAGCTCTAGAAGTTCCCCCTTCCCGGGCCGCCCCTCCTCCCCTTGTCCATCATCACCACCTTCTTCACATTCCTGGAATCCACAGGGCTCCCACCCCTCAACCAGACAGCTGCTGCCTGGGGCGGCCTCGCCCTCCATCATCTGGACCACAACCAGAACCTTCTCGGCCCCAGTCAGCCTCTTCCTCCACGCTCATCTGCACCGGGGGTCAACATTAGCATATGAAACACTTCCCCCTGCTCAAGCACCTTCAATGGCTCCCTGCTACTCTGAGACAATGGTGAAAATGCTCGCTAGTCCAGTTAGCCAACTCTCTACAACCCAGCCCTGTCTCCTCCTCCTCCTCTACCCTCACGACTCCTATCCCCACCTAACAGGGCTCCTACACAGCTCTTCGGGACGCCCACTCGTGCTCAGAAATGTCTGAAGTGCCCTTTCACCCCTCTCCATCCCTTACCCTCTGACAGCTGAGCTAACTCCTATTCACCCTGCAGAAGCTCACTTCTCCAGAGAGCTTCCCCCAATGCCCCAGCCTGGGGTCTGTGCCCCTCCCAGCTCCCCTCCCACCCTCTGAGGACTGGAAATGCCTCATTCAGTCTCATACAGGCTCTGAGGCCCGACCATCTGATCCCTAGACCCAGCGCCCGACCAGGAGAAGCCACTGACCCAGCGCCGGGAACAGAGGCCAGAGCTCCAGCCAGCTCGGTCCAGGCTGCCCGCCAGGCTGCAGTGGCCAAAGACGGCCAGCAGGGGGCTCTCCGGAGCGGGGCAGATGCAACGTTCACATAGCAAGAGCCTCCTAGTTGGGGTTTTCATTCTTTACTGTTTTTTATTTTATTTTTTTCTTTTTGAGACAGAGTCTGGCTCTGTTGCCCTGGCTGGAGTGCAATGGCAGGATCTTGGCTCACTGCAACCTCCAACTCCCGGGTTCAAGTGATTTTCCCACTTCAGTCCCTCGAGTAGCTGGGATTACAGGTGTGTGCCACTACACCTGCCCAATTTTTGTATTTTTAGTAGAGACGGGGTTTCACCATGTTGACCAGGCTGATCTCGAACTCCTGACCTCAGGTGATCCTCCCGCCTCAGCCTCCCAAAGTGCTGGGATTACAGGCATAAGCCGCCATACCTGGCCACATTCTTTACTCATTTTTAAAAGTCAAAATGAATTTCAAATGCTCCTGGTGGCCCCCAGAGGCTGGGTGAAGAGGCAGATGTGGTCCTTGGACTGGACCCAGCTGGAGAGAGCAGGTAAGGGGGGAAAAGGTGGCACCTCCAAAAGCTTCCATTCGCCCTCAAGGCCCAGCTCAAATGTCCCCCTGCCCCTCCAAAGCTCTCCCTTCCTGGACTCTGGGTGGGCTCACCCTCTCCAGGGCCCACCACCCTCTGCTGCAAGCTGAGCCTGTCCCGGGGTGAGTGGCCCTCTCTGCATCACTCTCCACCACGCACATCCGTCCCTGCAGGCGGGGCCCAGTCACTTGCCCATGTGTGAGGCTGGAGCCCGCAGCCCTGAACTGTCCACAGACCGTCGCCTGCCATGTGCCAAGTGCGCTCAGGCCAAGCTCCGGGAGTCCACACTACAGGCCCGTGACCAACAGAGACAGGAAATTGGGCCACACTGGGGACCCAGAGTTGCTGTCACCAAACCACCTCCTGTCCCATTCAGAACAGGCAGCTGTCTACAGAGAGACCTCCGCCCCCAGGCACCAAGCCCAGCCAGGCCTGTCTCCACCCGACCCCCAGCAGGGCCTCCGTGATGCGCAGCCATGCCCAGCATCTCAGGATGAGTGAGGCGTCGCCTTGGGCCAGGGTCACCCTCTCTGCTGTCTGTGGAGCTGGCTGTGGTGGGGCCGAGTGAGGCCGTTCTGGGGATCGGGGGCCAGGCCTGGACCTGTCCTTGGGGAATGAGAGAATGTGGATTTCCTACACCCAAAACCTTCCAGGGCCTTCCCACGATGCCAGCCCAGTTGTGACCTCCAGACTGAATGTGACGACACCCACAGACTTACTGGGATCCAGATTCTGGATCCTTCTCTGTCCCAGTGGCCCTGGTTGTGGACCAAATGGTGGCCCATAAAATGTGTTCACATACCAGAACCTGTGAACAGGGGTCTCTGTGGATGGAACTGAGGATCTTGGGATGAGGTCATCCTGGGTCATCCAGGGGGGCCCTAAGTCCAGGGACTGCAGGAGACAGAAGAGGAGGCCCACACAGGAGCCAGCAGGCCCTGGGATCGGAGCAGCGCAGGGATCGGAGCAGCACAGCCACGAGCCGAGGCCACTGGGGCCACCAGCGGCTGGAAGGGGCAGGAAGGACCTTCCCATGGGTCCCCCACAAGAGTTTTTGGAAAAAGCCGACCCTGAGGACCCCCTGATTTGGGGCTTCTGGCCTCCAGGCTGCAGAAGGAACCCATTCTGGACACTTGGCCCTCTCTTGGGGGTCATCTGCTACAGAAGCCCCAGGAAGCTGATGCCGCTGCCCCTGGACCACCCGAGTTGCCGGCTCCCTCCCACAGGAGGCCCCGGGTTGCCCACACGTGCCGTAGACACCCTGTCCCTCCAGCCACACGGCCTGCACTCAGTGTTGCATTGTGAACACCATCACTTGGCCGAGTCTAAGACCCGGCCTAAACCACCCAGGGTGGCGGCCACACCCGTCTCCAGGAGGATAGAGCCCAGCAGGGCCTGCTGGGGACGGGGATGGGCGACTCAGCCAAGCCTTCCAGCCTGGCCTCCAGAACCCACCTGCCCTACAGGGTGTGCAGCCATCGGTGACGGAATTCCCAGAGCCCTTCCTCTCTCAGGCCAGGGTCCCACCGGGGACGAGAACATTCAGCACTGAGCTGCAGAGGGGGGTTCTGTGGGGCCAGCCCCCATTTGTGGGTTCTGTGGGGCCAGCCCGGTCTGCAGGTTTGCGGGTGGGGCTGCTCTAACACCTTGCCCCGGGGAGGCAGCAGCAGGACAGACGGCCCCACAAGAGTTCACCCTGGCTTTTGAGCAGCCCAGGAAAACAGCACAGCAGCCTCGCCCTGGGGAGAAGCACAGCCCCAGGTATGGGACTATTTACCGGCGGAAAAGGGGCCACCCACACCTCGGCAGGGATGTGAACCTCCACGGCCTCAGAGGAAAAACATCCAGTGGCCACATTCCATTATGGCCCAGACAAAATAAGCAGGTCTCCAAGGACCCGGGTCCTCCTGCCGCGCCCCAGCTTAGAGGGTGAGCACACGGCGCCGACCCGGCCAGCTGCCTGCCCGTGCCAAGGAATTCCACAGACAGAAAGGAAGGCATGGGTCCCCCCCTCCAGGCACCCCCAAATCTAGCACACCACAGACGGGACAGGCCGCCCGTGCCAGGACAACTAGAGCCTGCAGCTCTGGCTTCCCACGCGACAGAGGACAGGGACGCTGGGTCCAGCCACTGTTCCCGGCCGCTGCCAACCCACTCCCCAGTGGCTCCGGAAGCCCCCGTGCTGAACCTCTGGCCTGCCGCAGGGGGCCTGGGGGCCCATCCAGCAGATGGGACCCCGACAGGTGTCCTAGCTCTCCTGGGAACCACCGCCACCCCCCACACCAGCCCACAGCTGGCGTGAGCAGAGACCCTGCCCATCCATACTGGCTGTCCAATCCTGGGGGGCCAAGGCCCTTTGGACTCTGGCTATGGTCCCTGCCAGCCCCAGGGCCGAGACTCCGGGCCAGCTGTGCCCCCTGCAGCTGGCTGTGTACGCCCCCTGCCTCCGTGGAGCCTGAGCCTTGCCTCCCTGTTCCCCTTTCAAGGGTCAGATGTTGTCTCCTCAAAGACCCCAGCAGGGCTGGCTCCTGCAGCGAGACCCACTGGGTTTGCTCCCAGCACCCAGTGCAGAAGGTGGCGTAACATGGCACCCAGATGGGCTTGCGCCCGTGCCCCAGCTGGCCTTTGCAGGATGAGGTCCCAAGCGGCCAGCATGGCCTGTGTCATTGCTTGCATTTGCTCCGCCCAGACATCCAGGCTCCACCAGAGCCCCGGCCAGTGTGAGCCAAGTGCTGTCCCTCAGTCCTCTCAGCCCCACACCAGGCCCACAGGAGGCCCCTCTGCCCGCCACCAGCCCAGCCAATGAGCAGCTGCCCCTCCAGAGGGAAGAGAGGAGGCGTCACGCCCTCCGCGGGGATTGCAGGTCCACAGGGCAGCCTGGCGCATCTGCACCCAACATGGGAGAAAGTGGAGGGGGTTGCTGGGACAGCCCGCTCCTGCAGCAGCCCTCAGACTCTCTGGAGACTCTCTGGTGCCTTCCTGCTCCCATTTCCCTCACTCCCCTGGCTGAGGGCGGCTCTCAGGCCTTCACACGCCCAAAGGACTCAGGCCATCCCCACCCACGGCCTGGCCACCTCACTGGGGACATTAGGGCAGCTCTGGGCGACCCACAGGCAGGGCGGCTGGCGTGTCCACCAGGAATTCTTGGTCCAGGAATGTGTCTCCGTGGTGCTCATGCGGGAGCTCAGGCTCCCCGCCGCTAAATGCATTTGTTCTTTGTTTTTTCCTTTTCATGAAATCTGGATATGAGCGGCTCTGAGGCTCTGTGGCCTCGGGCCCCTCCTCCCATCCCCATACTCTCTCCCTGCAGTGAGGAAGAGCAGAGGCAGCTGAGGCCCCATACTTGGCACTCCACACTGAGGTTCCTGCGGGCAGAGGACCTCGGACATCGAGCGTGGGGAGACGCCATCCACCTGCTGGTGCGTTCTGGAAATGCCAGCAGGCCGGCCTGCACGCGGGGTCAGTCGGCCCAAAGCCAGCAGTTCTCGGGGGGAAACGGGGGTGCTGCCGCTGCCCAGTGAGCCCATGCATCCGTACTTACAGTACCCACACCTGGTCCCGCCTTCAAAGATGAATCCGCTCGGCACGGCCCCGTAGCGCCGGAGGTCGGACAGCTTCCACTGCCCCGTGACAGCCGGGGGGATGTCCCTGGCCAAGACGAGGATGTCATTGCAGAGGTGCAGGGTGGCCGGGCCGCTCTCCAACTTGGTGCCTGGAGCCACTGTCACATGGAACCTGTGCACTGTGGGCGGGCGGGGTGAGAGGGCATCACGGGCGGGGCGAGAGGGCATCACGGGCGGGAGGGGCGAGAGGGCATCGCGAGAGGAGGCAGCAGGGGCAGAGGCCAGGCTGGGCCGGGCAGGGGCAGCCACCCAGGTGTCAGCCGGGGAGGCAGCGGCGGCAGGATGAGCAAATGGCTCTCCCCACAGCCCCGAGCGGGCGGGGGGGCCAGGGGGCCGCACTTGTCTCCTCGCCATCCTCCCAGGAACTACCTTTGTTCAGGCACAAGCAAGTCCCAGAGGGGCCTGACCGCGGACCTCCGCCTCCCTCCCCTCCCACCACAGAGCTGCTGGGGAGGACAGGGCTGGTGAGTGCCCTGGCTGGGCTCCCGCCCCCAGCACCTCCTCTCCAGAAAGGCTCCCTCCACAGCTGCGTGGCCCCGCCACAGAAGGGGAAACCGAGGCTCAGGGACCCCCAGCCTCCAGTTAGGGTGTGGAGAGTCTGGGGTCTGCATCGAAGCCCCAGCCTGGCCACAGGAGCCTCAGGACACCACAGGCCCTCTCTCCATCCAGGTGGCCGTTCACCCGAACCCTGAGCACTCCCATGGTCCTGTCCACTGACTCTGCCCAGGCCCCTGCCCCTGAAAGCCTCAGAGAGGAGAGTGGTCCTGAGTGCTGTCCCCGCCTTCCCCCTCTTCCCAGGTCAGCACCCCAGGCAGACAGCAGCCTACCCACCAGGGGCCCCACCTGCTCCATCTCCAGCCCCCGGAGCCAAAGGGACCCCTGTTTCCATCCCACCTCCCACTCCTCTGCCTCCTCCACCTGTTCCAAGCTGTGGCCTTGGGTGCATCCTTGTCAGGCCATGTTCTATCAAGATTACGCTGCCTGGGCAGTGCCCAGTGGCCTCTGTGCTATGGCCCTGCCCCAGCGGATGAAGGAAGCAGAGCCATGCCGCTGAGCCAGGCTGGAGGGAACCCCCAACGGAAGAACTTTCTGGAAAGTTCTGGCAGTTCTTCTCTCCTAATGTCTCCTTCCCCTGCGCCCTCCCGCAGAGCTGACCGCACCTCTTCCCACTAAGCCCCCAGCTTCTCTCCCCTTCAATGAAGCAGGAGAGGCTGCTGCCCTGGGGCCAAAACTGAGGGAGCAGGACACTCACCTCCAAGGCCAAAGAACTCAGCCATCAAGGGCCAGGATATTTTAATCAATATTTTAAAAAGTAAAGTTATGCAGAGTCCATGCTAATCAAAATAGCAAGGTTTTTCGTGTTTTTATTTTTTAATTTTTATTTTATTTTATTTTTTTTTTTTGAGGTGGAGTCTCGCTCTGTCGCCCAGGCTGGAGTGCAGTGGCGCTATCTTGGCTCACTGCAAGCTCTGCCTCCCAGGTTCACGCCATTCTCCTGCCTCAGCCTCCCGAGTAGCTGGGACTACAGGCGCCCACCACCACACCTGGCTAATTTTTTGTATTTTTTTTTTTAGTAGAGACAGGGTTTCAGTATGTTAGCCAGGATGGTCTTGATCTCCTGACCTCGTGATCCTCCCACCTTGACCTCCCAAAGTGCTGGGACCACAGGTGTGAGCCACCGCGCCCGGCCGTGTTTGTTTTTCTAAGACAAGGTCTCACTCTGTCTCCCAGGCTGGAGGACAGTGGTGCAACCTCAGGTCACTGCAACCTCCACCTCCCGGCTCTTTTTTTCTTTTTTCTTTTTTTTTTTTTTTTTTTTTTTTTGAGATGAAGTCTCACTCTATTGCCCAGGCTGGAGTGCAATGGCACAATCTCAGCTCATTGCAACCTCCACCTCCCAGGTTCAAGCGCTTCTCCTGTCTCAGCCTCCTGAGTAGCTGGGATTACATGTGCCTGCCACCAGGCTAATTTTTGTATTTTTAGTAGAGACAGGGTTTCACTATGTTTGCCAGGCTGGTCTCAAACTCCTGACCTCAGGAGATCTGCCCACCTTAGCCTTCCAAAGCACAAGGGTTACAGGCATGAGCCACTACGCCTGGCCATCATTTTTGAATTATTAGTAGAGACGAGGTTTCACCACTTTGTCCAGGGTGGTCTCTATGTCCTGGGCTCAGGTGATCTGCCCACCTCAGCCTCCCAAAGTGCTGGAATTACAGGTGTGAGCCACCACACCCGGCCTAAAATAGCAAGTTTTTAAAGCGAGGGCAGCTAGGGCTGGTGGGATTATTGGGTGGGTGCCAGTGTAGGACCAGGACTCGACTCGGTTGACATTCTACTGTTTTGCTCGTTACGGGTTTTGTGGCACTGATTTGGTTTCCTAGGAGACGCAGGATTATGCTTGCTCTGCCGCTGAATGCCCAGGCCCCATCACCACCCACCTCTGCTCAGAGCCCCAGGGCAGCTCAGCCCACAGAGGCCCCCAGGCACCAATTTGAAGCCCCTGTAGGGCTGGGACTGAGGTTCTACCTCTTCCAGGGCCAGCTCTGCAGGGGAGCCCTCCCTTCCCCTCTCTCTCCCTCCCTCTGTTCCCTCCCCTCCACTCCCTCCCATCCTGTGTAGGGGAAGCTAGGGTGGGACCACCCAGCCTGGGGCTCTCCTTCCTACCCAGGCTCTGGGCTCCACTGTCCAGTGTGGGAAGCAAAGGGCAGGGCTTTGGGAGGCCACATGCCTCCAAAGGCCACCAGCTTGAGTTAAAGGCTCCAGTTGTAACTAATGGTCAGGCTAGGGAGCTCCAAAGACACCATAGCCCAGCAGACTCCGCCTCCCAAACCCTCTTGGGCACCCCCAGGCTGGAGCTCAGTCCACTCTAAGGCACCCATGAATGTCCCATCTTCCTGCACGGTTCCCTGGAGCTGCTCCCGCCTCTGCAGCCCACGTTGGTGAGGGGCCCCGGCACACCTGAGCAGGGAGCCCTCTGCCCGGACCCAGCCCCAGTCACTCACCCTCGCCTAGCGCATAGCGGATCCGGGCATCCCACGCACACATGGCCTCGTGGCTGTCGAAGCCCAGCATGACAGCCTGGGACAGGCAGACGATGGCCAGCGTGTGGGCCAGGCCTTCGTAGGGCAGGCCGGGCTCCAGCCCGCAGATGTCCTCTAGTGTCAGGCTGCTGCGCTCCCGCAGGCCCTTGGAGCGCTCCGACTTGTCCTTGTAGACCAGCATCAGCAGGCAGTCTGCAGGGAGCGCGGCTGTCAGGGACGCCAGCCAGCACCGCCCGCCCGCGCCCTTGGTGTCCCCAAGGAGGCCGTGACAGTGCAGAGACCCGGACTGGGGGCGTGACTTCAAGCCAGCCACTCAGCCATGCCAAGGCTCCGACTCCTGGCATACAAAATGGGGCGATCCCCTCCCATGGCAGGACCCACAGGCCGCAAGAGCAGAAACGAACCCAGAATATCCATGTCTGTGCCCGGCCCCCGACGCTGCCTCCCATGCCTGGGTTCTGGACCTTCGCCAGCGGATTCACCTGGTCCCAGGCCCTGGAGCCCCCCGGGCCACACGGAGGCCTGCAGTATCTGTGGTCAGGGATTTGGGGGCCCAGCGTGGGGCCTGCCCGGTGGCTGTGGCCTCCTGCCCTGGTTCTGCCAGCCTGCCCCTGCCCTGCCGCCCTGCCAGCCACACCTGTGCCCGCTCCTGGTTCCTTTAGTTCCCAGGGTGTGGCTGAGCTTCAGCCCCAGGGAGTCGGGGAGGTCAGTGGGCCGTGGGTCCCACCCCATCCACCCAGCCACTGCCCAGCATAGCAAGTCCTGGTTTCTTCCTCAGCTGCTGGGGACCTGCCTGCGTTCTGCCTCCCGGAGCCTCCAGGGCAACGCGGGTCCCCGTCCCCACCCCACGTTCCCATTTTCCAACGTCACTGTCACCGGAAGCAACTAGCGGGTGCCGTCCACTCCGCCAGGTGTAGTTCAAACCCAGCACAGCACAGTCCCTGTGTGGCCTTGGGCGAACCACCTGGCCCGGGGACACTCCTGTGAATGGCAGGGGCAGCAGGTCTGCCCGAGAGAGCAGAGGACGGCGCAGGAAGACTCCCGGCCCTCCCGGCTCCACTCCAGGCTTGACGACCAGGCCTCCTCCCACCTAGGCCCCGGCAGCTGGGCTCCAGGACACCTGGCTTCGGCGAGGTTGTAGGTTTTGGGGCCTCATGCAAACACCCCAAATCCCTGTGAGCATGCAGGAGGGGATGGGAGAGAATGTCCCCAAAGAGGATTGCAGAATGACGTGTCCTCTGAAGCTCTGAAGAGTGGGTGCTCACTCTTCACACAGGCCCCGCAAAGCCACGTGACAACCAAATCCCAAATGAATTCGACTCAGATGCTCATTTTTGCAATGGAATCCAGAGCAGACATGGTGCTCAGCTTCCCTCCCCAGCCGTGCCCACCTCCCCGGGCCACATGGCCGCAGCCCGCAGGGCCAGGGAAGCCTGTGTGACCACGGGGGCCAGCGGTCAGCAAGCTTCCTCTGCAAGGGGCCAGAGGGCAAGCATGCAGCTTTCAGGGCCACACGGGCTCTGCAGCCACTACTCAGCAGCGCCACCCTTGCTGGTGAAAGCAACCTCAGACCGTCTGTGGACCCACGGGCGCAGCTGCATGCCAGGAAACTCGATTCACAAAAGCAAGGTGCAGTGTGGGCGCAGCGACAGCACGTTCACTTCCCATTGGAGGATCTGTCCGCAGTGTCTGAAACATTTACAGCTAGAAAAAAGCTAGGCATTCCCGATTTGAGAAAGAAGCCCCGTCATCCCTGCACCCACAGAACTCATCCCTGCACCCACAGAACTCCGCCTGCCCTTTCCAGACAATCTCCTGCCCCCCTGTGGAAACTCCAAGGCAGGAAGCAGGATGTCTGCCCCAGAGAGAGAAATCGAACATGGCGGCATAATTGGAATTTGCCATAACAGCAGTGTCCCCCAAATGCGTCACCAGAGCACCCAAGAAATGACGGCGTGTGGGAACAGCATGAACATGGGGGTGGCTCCGCGCAGGACGGGGGCCCCAGGGCTGCCTGAGCCTGAGGACAGCCCGCAGCCCCCGACTCTGTGACCGCACCACAGCCTCCACCCTCTGCAGTTGAAGTGTGTTGTGAGATGGCTGCAGGGGCCTGGGCCACCTCTACCTCGGGGGACCTTAAAAAGCTCAGCCACACCCATGTGGAGAGTGGCAGAAACTTCCACTGAGGATAATCACAGCCCACACAGAGCACCCCTTCACACCCTTCCCCTAAGGGGCGAGGCCCCTGGAAATCCCTGCTCTGATCTTCCAGCCTCATGGCCTTGGGCTCTTGGCCTCAGTTTTCTCATCTGTGACCTGGGGACAGTGGCAGCCCCACCTGCAGCAATGCCATAAGGACCATCTGCAGGAAGGTGTGGAAGTCCTGCATGCAGTAAGCGCTCAATACATGCTTGCATATTCAGGTACACGTCTGTCTGCATTACCAGCTGTAAGGCCAGGCCGGCTTCCCTGCAATCTGGCTGCCCATGCACAGAGGGACCAGGTGACCCATGGCTCACCCTCAGTACCCAGCAAGGGACACACACTGGCCAGCCATCCGCCACCTTCCACCTCGAGGGCCTCAGCCTCCTTGGAGCCTTGGTGGCCTGATCGCCCAGAAGCCAGGCAGAGACCTTTCCTCCCCTGTGGCTCTGCTCTGTGATGGTGGCACCTTGGCCACGCCCTGGCAGACAGCTCTGGCACCTGTTGACAACCAGTTCCTGCCATTGCCCCCAACCTGCACCTCCTTTGTTCAACAAGTTACATTCCCAATAATCCAGTCAGGACTGGGGTCAGGAGCGTGCCTGGAAAGAGCCCCACATCACCCTTTCGGCTTTACCGGGCTTAAAGTCTCCGTTACGATACTTAGCTGGAAAGCAGCCACAGATGATGCGTGTGGGAATGGCTGTGAGCCAATAAAACTTTATTTACAAAAACAGGTTCTGGCAGGATTTGGCCCAGAGACCACAGTGAGCCGACTCCTGGCCGAGAGTTGAATTTGCCACGATGGCTTTTCACACCTTCCACGAGCCAGCCGGCCCCACCCTAGACGCCTGCACCTGCCAGGTTGGTGGTGGGGAACGTGCTGAACCCATGCTCCACCCTCAGACCTTTTTCTGATTCACGGATGCCACCCCTCAGCCTGTCTGATTTTTCTGGACTCTGTCTACAAAAGCAGACTCACACCCTGTACCTTGGGAACGCCTGAGAATCTAGGAGCGCTTACATGCGGGGGGCTAGGCGTGGCCCCCAGCAAGATGTGTCCACTCGCGACCCCGGAACCTGTATGTCCTTATTTGGGAACAGGGTCTCTGCATACGTAATCAAGTTCAGGATCCTAGATTATCTGAGTGCAGCAGCAAGCGTCCTTGTAAAAGGCAGAACAGGAGAAACAGACACAGGGAAGGTCACCTGAACGGGGACGGAGGCAGGGACTGGAGCGCTGAGGCCACAGCCAAGGGACGCCTGTGTCCAGCAGGAGCTGGGAGAGGCAGGAAGAAGCCCCTCTGGGAAGCTCAGAGGGAGTATGGCCCTGCGGCCCCCTGGACTGCAGAGCTCTGACTCCCAGCACTGAGAGGGCGAATTCTCGTTGTTCGAAGGCCCAGCTGTGGTGCTTTATTCTGTTGGCCACAGGAAACTGATGACCACCCAAGTCACTGATTTCATTTTCAAACACGAACAGAAGCAGGGAGGTCAGAGCTGGGGGCCGACTCGCCCCTCCTGCCTGGCGGAAGCTTCTCCGGCAGCTGACGCCCACCCCCTCAGGCTCAGGCCGCCCCCTCCTCATCACGGACGATAAATCGATCCTGTTTTTAAAGCGCATCTCGAGATGAGTGCCGGGGGCAAAACGCTGCAGGAACTGGCACCAGAGAGACGGCAGCTCCAGGCCCAGGGCTGAGACCAAGCCAGGTCAGGGCCGGGACACCAGAGCCCCAGGACACAGCGGCCCTCCCTGGGACACAGCACGTGTGCTGGGGAGACATGGGGCTGAGGGACTCAGGAGCAGATGGCCACTGGCCAGCTCCCCAGGGGCCAGGCCCAGAGGGCCCCAGCCACACCCTCCCAGGAGGCCTGGGCACCCGGGGGTCTCTCATCCATCGGCTGAGGAACCACCGTCAGCCCCGCCCACCCACCCTCCAGCTGCTCCGCACTCTTGGGCATTGGCTGCAACCTGGCCAGGGAAGGCTTTTGCAGGACTTGGAGGGTTCCCGGGGCTCTGGCAGGCAGCACTGGGCTGGGTGGAGGGCACTGGGTCATGATGGTGAAAGAAGACAAAGAGGAGACACCAAGAGAGGCTAACCAAGGCACAGAGACCAACGTGGAGCAAGCAGGCACACATGCACACTCACACACACACACTGATACACACACACAGACACGCACACACACTCATACACGCACACTCATACACACAAGCACACACAGGCACACACACTCATACACGCACACTCATACACAGGCACGCACATACATGCACACACACAGGCACAGTCATACACGTACACTCATGCACAGGCACTCAAACTCATACACAGACACGCACACACATACACTCCTACATGCACACTCAGACATGCACACACACTCATACATGCACACACAGAAATGCACACACTCATACACGCATATGCACAGGGACACACATACATGCACACATACACAGGCACATGTACATTCACATGCACACACACACGCACACACAGGCATGCACACACACTCATACACACACTCATACACACAGGCAAACACACACTCATACATGCACACACAGGCAAATGCACACTCATACACGAACACACACAGGCACACACTCATACATGCACACAGGCACACTTATACATACACATACACACAGGCACACACACACTCATACATACAGACAAGCACACACATACACAGGCACACTCACACTCATACACGAACACTCAGGCACACACATGCACACATAGGCACACTCATACATGCACACATGCACACACTCATACACGTCCATTCACACACAGGTGCACACACTGATGCACACCCATGCAGACACCTGCACACACTTGCACACACAGACAAATGCGCACAGGCATTTGAGCTCACACACACTCGCACATACACACAGGTATTCACACACATGTGCACAGGTGCACACATAGACACACTCCCACACACAGGTATTCACATGCACGTGCACACACACGTGGGCACAGACATGTACTTGCACTCATTCTTGTGCGCACACACACAAACGTGCACTCATGCACTCACTGCTGGGGTCTGAATCTGAAATTCTGGTGTTGAAATCTTCACCCCCAAGGCGATGGGTTAGGTGGTGGGGCCTTTGGGAGGTGATGAGGTACTCAGGGTGGAGCCTCAAGAATGGGACCAGTGCCTGATGAGCGGACCCCAGGGGGCTTCCTCCCCCTACACCATGTAAGGACAGAGAAAGCGCCATCTATGTAGCAGGACACGGTCCTCACCAGACACCCAGGACACGGTCCTCACCAGACACCCAGGACACGGTCCTCACCAGACACCTAGGCTGCCTTGATCTTGGGCCTCCAGCCCCCAGAACTGTGAGTAATGGCTGTCTGAGCCGCCTAGGCTGTGGCATTCGCTAAGAGCCGCCTGAGCTAAGACAGCCACACAAGCGCACACTCACACATACACTCTTACACACCCAAATGCTCACACTTGCTCACACGTGCACATGCTCCCATGGTGTGTACAGGTGCACATGTGCATCCTCTCACACACACACACACACGCACATGCACACACGCTCCTCCTGCATTCACCTCCACAGCCACAGGGGAATGAGACATCCAGGATGAGCCCAGGGACTTGGGTGGGGGAGGGATGCCTGGGGACCCTTCTGGGTGGGGGCTGGGGTTGGGGGTCTTTCCTGGACACGTGGGGCTGAGAAGCCCACCAGACGCCGGACGGCGATGCACACAGGCAGTTGGACGCAGGCGTCTGGAGATGTAAAAATAACCGTGGAGTCATGAGCACACGGAAGGCCTTGCAGCCAGGGCGGAGAGCCGGGGAGGGCGGGAGGGGAGAAGGAGGAGGGGGAGAAGCCACAGGGAAGATGGAGCGAGCAGGCGTGGTGGCCCAGGGAAGGCAGGGGCGCGTGCAGGCCAGGGACATAGTGTGGGAGTCCCCGCCCACACTGAACACGATGGGAGTCTGCAGAAGCGGCTGTGGGACAGCCCTTGGAGGTCACAGTGACCTTGAGGCCATGCCCTTAGCAATGCAGGTGGTAGCAGCCTGAGGGGACCTTGCTGGGGGTGCAGCAGCCTGGAGCCGTGCCCAGAAGCTGGGCAGGGGCGAGGGGGGCGGCCATCAACCAGGCCAGCCTGCTGGTGCCTCCTCAGACCAGGCTACAGCCAGGACACACGGGACCAAGATCCAGTGCCTAGCCCCGGCCCCATTCACAATCTGGTTCAGGAAGGAAACATGAGGGTGTCCCTGCCTGGCACAGGTGTTGGAGGTGTGGTGCAGGTGGGCCCCCCAGACATCACCAGGGGCAGCTCAGGACGAGGCTCCGGATGCCAGGCCCAGGCCCTTGCGCCCACCTCTCCATGGCCCTCAAGAGCCCTGTGAGTGGCCGAGGATGCAGGCAGGGAAGCAGCCGTCCCAAGTCACCGTTCCCACATGTGGAGCTGCGAGCTGAACCCCGGCTCTCTGATTCCCTGTCCTGAGGCGGGGGCTGCGGGAAACTCGCCCTGTTCTTGATGTTTCTACGGGGAGAGGATGACTGGCCACCACCCACGCCCAGTCTTCAGCCCGGAGCTGGGATGTCAGCCCCAGTCCCTTGGGGAAGGAGGCAGACGAGGCACAGGAAATCCACCGCCGGGAGGCTCTGCTCAGGAAGGGCCGACCCAGTTTCCACCCCCGGCCCCTCGTTAGCAGTGCTGCCCACTGTGGGTGGCAGGGCCCCAGCACAGCACAGCCGTGGGGCAGCTCTGGGGCCTATGGGGCACCTGCCAAGGGGCTCCTGGCTCCTGCGCTGTCTCCGTGGGGTCCCTCCTGCAGGACGGGCTCAGTCCCACCAGACTGCCTTTGAGGGCGACATGGAAAAGGGGACCCTGCCCTCCGAGAACTCAGCATTAGAACCAAGAGCAGTGATGGGGGAGACTAAGCAAGCACCCAGTGGTCAGCCTGGGGGCAGGTGCGGAACTTCCAGCCAGCTGCGGGGGACAAAGTTTGGGCTGTTTGGGGGGAACTGGGCTCTGCCTAGCAGTCCGTGTCTTGGGCCAGATTCCTCGGGTTTCTGCGCCTCAGCCTCCCTTCCATGGTGACTGCAAGACCCTGCCAGCCCCAGGATTCGGGCCCTCCCGGTAGCTTTTCTGAGCTGGATGAAGCCCCCAGGGGCAGCCCCTGTGGGAAGCGGGTCCCTCCAAGCGTCTGGCCCGGGGCCACACCCTCCACAGGATGTCAAGAACGCTTGCATTGCCACCCCCAGCCGCTGCGCCAGGGAGGAAGAAGAGAGGGGCTGGGCCAGGCGCTGGCGTGCCGGGTCACCAGCAGAGAGTCCTGGGCCACGACTGGACACAGACCACCCTCCTCCCCCGGGGCCCTGCCCAGAAGGGGATGCACACACGCATCCTGCAGTCAGGACGCGGTGGAGACCTCGAGGAACGCGGTCCCACTGCAGGGCACCCTACAGTCCCACACCAAGGCAGACGGCCCGACATCCACTGGCCGTGCCCGGCACTGCGGCTGAGCTGCCCTTTGATAAAAGGTGTTCCCCTTTCATAAGCTAACTAAACTTTGCCGTAAGAGAAAGATGTGCTTGTGATTGAGAAAAACACGAGGAGGAGAAAGGTGCCCGTGGAAAAGGTGCACATCTGGGTCCTTCCCAGAAGGAAATCACCGCTGGTAACAAAAAGAACCCTGCCTGTCTTACAAGGAAGCAGACAGGACCCTTTCTCTCTGCCTCACACCAAGAGTGCTGTCTGCTCCTCCAGGGCTGGGGCCTGCTCCCGCCAGGCCAGGCCCATCCACAAGGGCGGTGGTCTCCAGCGCTGAGCGGGAAGGCAGCTGGGTGAAGGCAAGGGGGGCGGCACCCAGGGAGGCTCATGAGGGGCCAGGAGGAAGAGGCATCAGGGCCTCTGAGCAGAGAGGAGGTGCCAGGCTGGCCTGGTCAAGGTGGGGAGGTGGGCGTGAGAACTCCGCTCTGTCCCATCGCCTCATCTGACTGACCTCTGGGCCACCCCACAGGGTTTCCGTTTCAGTCCCAGGCTGCTGGAGTGACCAACACAGAAAGCAGGTGTCCAAAGCAATGGGTCCCAGGCCAGGGAGTCGGTGGGTGCTAGGGACACCTGGCCATGAGGCTCAGAATGAACATCCACCCAGAGGGGGCAGGGCACGTTCCACTACCCCACATCACCTCCCACGCCAGTCCCACGAGGCTGCAGATCTCAACTGCGCGGGATACAGGGTGACCCAGCAGACGCTCGGGAGCCACCACGTTCACCTACAGACTCACAGATTGTCCCACCTGGGGGACCCATTGCCAGCTCCCATCACTCCACTCAGGCACTCACCAGGCCTGGGGAGCACACCCTCTTGAGGCTGGCAGGCCCTGCCTCCTGGGACTCTCTGATCCAGAAAGAAAAGTCTCCCAAGAGGGACCAAGACCTCTCCCGCAATGCTCCTCTTGGGCTGCTGTCCCGTGTGCCTTCCTGGGCTGTGGCCTCTCTGGAGGGTCTGCACCGGCTCCAGCCCAGCACCATCCACCCATCAAGCACCACCTGCCCCACCACAGCCCTGGCCCAGCCACAGCTGACCAAAGCCTGTCGTCTGCCCCAGCCTGGCAGGGCCTCTCTGCCCAGACCCCACCCCTTCCTATACCAGGTCCCCTGCAGCCCCGGAGGACAAAGACACCCGTCCAGGCTCTGATGGTGCCCCCACAGCTCCAGGCAGGAGGTCTGGGCCCGGAGGGCTGAGTGAAGTGACTGGTGTGCAGCCCAGGCCCTGCAAGGGGAGGTGGAGGCAGGCAGGAAGTGCCTTCCTCCAGGACTACCTGAGGCCCTGCAGAGGGGACCCAGGAGGGAACCCTGCTCCACACCTTCCCTGGGAGCCACAGACTCCCATCCTGGATGACGCTCTGGCAGGCCTATGGCATACAGCCCCCCGGTGCACGCAGGCGGAGCATCCCACCCAGACCGGGGCCTGGCCGGCTCCACCGCACCTGTCCTCTGGAGCAGCTGCAGGCCCGGCTCAGCCCTCCCCACAGGCCCAGCGCTGCAGGCGGCCTGGGCTGCCAGACCTGGGGGCTCCGTGTTGACCCTCCCCAAGCTGGGGTACTGGCTCAGGGCGGGGACTGCGGGGGACCCCTGCCTCCTCCCAGAGGACTGTTCCCCCAGCAATATGGCAGTCACTCGGCCCCCTACCCCACCACAGCCCAGCCTCTCCTCTGCCTGGGAGGGGCCCAGGGTCAGCGCCCACCCACACAGCACCCCTGGAGGCTGGGTTCCGGGACCCTGCTCTGAGTGTTTCCACAAGCACAGCTCAACCCTCAGGCACGTGGGGTTTTGCTTCTGGGGCGCCCCTTGCTGCTCTGCTGGGGGGCTCAGGGCCTGCATCCCCTCCGCCTCCAGGGCCACCAGGCAGCCCCCGGGCCTCAGTCTGCCCTGCTGGAAAGAGGGTTCTTCCGTCCGGGCCCCCACTGCGTTCCCAGGGGCGCCGTGGGGTCCGGGTCCGCGCGGGGCTCTTCGGGTTCCCCGCGGGGTGAGAGCGGCGGCGATTTCGGGCAAGCGAGCATTACTGCCGGGGGCCTCGGTAACCCGGGTCACTAGACCCCCGCGCCCACCGTCCCCCGCCCGCCCCGCTCACCTGCCACGGGCGACGGCTTGCGCAGCACCAGCCACCTACTCTTCCACTGCGGGGACAGGGGGGAGCGTGAGCCGCCGCCCGCGCCCGCGCCCCCCCGCGCCCCCGACGCGCCCCGACCTTCTTGCCGTCCCGCAGCTTGACCTGGCCCTCCACCAGCGCCGCCTCGGTCATCTTCTGTCATGGTTCCGCGCCGCCGCGCTCGCCCCGGCGCCCCAGCCCAGGGTCACTTTCAAAATAGCTCCCAGGGCCCTGGGCTGGGCCAGGAGGGCGGGCCCGCGGGCAGGGCGGCGACACCGGCGACTCCAGGGCCGGCGCGGGCGGGGCCCCTTCTCCTGCGGGGGGTTCCCCCACCCCCACGGGCCCCTCTGGCCCCACCGTCCCGCGGCGGAGCGAGCGCACCATCTGGGCTCGGACGCCCAGACCAGCGCCTGCGGGGGTCGGGCGGGGGCCGGGGGGGGGCCGGGCGGGGGCCGGGCGGGGGCTTCTTTTTCAAAAAGCAGAGATAACCACCCAGCAGAAGCTGGCCCCGCTCTGGACACTGCTCCCGACTTTAAAGTTGGTCTTCAACCAATCCCGCCTCCCAGACTGGGGTGGTGCCCCTCCCACCACCCCAGGGGTCCAGACACCCCCACAACAGACTGGGCACAGGCAGCCCAGGCCTAGGACACTCTCATGTCCCGGGCTTCCCCCACACTGAGGTGACCCCTCCCCAGGCAGACAGTAGGGGTCCGGGAGCCCTGGCAGCCTCCATCTCTTCCTACATTTCTGTTCCCATTAAAAGGATGCAGGGACCCCAGTGCAGGTGGGTGGGTTCAGGACCCACAGTGCCACCTCGATGCCCCCAGTCTCCACCTCTTCTGCCCCTGTCCCCAGAGAAGAGCAGGCCCTGGTTAGGCCAGCCTGGTCCGATGGGTAGGGGAGCTGCCCGCTTTGTAAAGGACCTGCCAGCAGCCCTCCCAGCTGGGTGGTTTGCGTTTCTGGACCCCCCCTCCTTGACCCTGTGGCTCCAGTCCAGCTGTCCCCAAGCTCTGGCCTGGGCATTAGATGTTACATCCAGGTTCTTCTGCAGAGAGGTCATGTGCTTTGGGGGACCTGGCAGGTCCGCCCCTTGGGTGTCAGCCCCTTCCGAGAGACGGCCTCCACCACCCTGGGATCAGGGACACCCAGAAGATACGGGAACAGCAGTGGGGAGGGGCGATGGTGCCCCGGAAAATAAGCACGTGGACAAGCATCGAAACTCCGTCCACATGCCCTACCCCAGACCCCATCCTCACGGGGCTGACGGTTCTCGGGGGAGAAGAGGGAAGGGGTAGACAGTGTCCTGTTAGGGAGGAGGCATCTTCATTTCATCCCATCCAGACCCTAGGCTGGGCTCTGTCTGCCTTGTACTGAAGAGGAAATGGAATCAGGGCAGCGTGAGGCCTTACAGCCAGGACTGAGCCACATGGACTGACCTGAGAGCAAGGCTCAGAGGCATCGGGAGCCCTGGGCACCCCTTCCCACTGCCCCTGTGATCCAAGAGGCAGGTCTCGGGTGGGCCACAAGGGTTGGTTTTGATGCTTCAGTGATGTCTTGTCAGGGCCTCACGCAAGGCAGGGGACGCCAGGCCCAGGAAGCAGATCTTTGCATCCCCCACCCACCCCTGCAGTCACCTGTGCAGCCACCAGCCGCCTTCCGCAGAACAGTTGCTGGGCCACAGAGCCCCATTCATGCTCCCCACACATCCCAGGCCCCCAAGGGGCTGGCCCAGGACAGCCGGTGCGGAGGCGGGGGCGGCTGGGGCTGTAGCCACAGACACATCCGCTGCCCTGGGCGCCTGGCACTTGCTCATCCCTGCAGGGAGGGGCAGGCCCCGCTGCATTCCTGAGTGCTGGCCTGGGCCCAGGCTCCTGCCATGCCTGGCAGTTGCACCTGCTCCCACACAGCCTGGAACACACAGGATGCCGGAGGGCAGACAACTCCCTTCTCTGCTCCATGCGACTCCAGGGCTGCGGAAAGGTGGGGAAAGCTTCCTGCAGGAGGAGGAGGTGGCCTGGCTGCCACTCCCAGACTGACCGAGAGCTCTGTGACCCTGGGCAAGCCCCTGCCCTGCTCTGTGCCTCAGAAGTTATAGCCAGAAGTCTCCCCAGAAGTTATAGTCAGGGTTGCTAGTTGCAGATGGAGAAATAGGCTGGCCACTGAGTAGGAAGGGGTTGATTGGAAGCAAATTAGGTCTCCAAGAACCAAGGGGAAGGCTGGAGAGCTGGTGGGCAGTGAAAGCAGAGTCACATCCTGAGACAGGAGGACACCGTAGCCTAGCCCCACAGCACAGCTGTGCTCCACACGAGGGGCAGGGCCACCACCTTCAAAGGAGCCTACAGTCTCAGGTCACAGCTGCACCCCTGACTGACCACAGACAGAGCCATGCTGCTGCTGGACACTGTGGCCAGGGAAACTGCCATCTCTGCCAGACCCCGTTGCCATGGTGCATTGCTGCCCACCAGTGGGTCTGCAGCCAAGGGACCTGTCCCTCACTAGCCACACCACCTTTAGCCACCATGTGATCTTACTGATCTCAGCTTCCTCTTCTACCTTGATACTGTGATGAGCCCCCAATGAGATGATGTCCATGAGCATCTTTCAAAATGATCCCGGGTTTTCCAAGGGGATGATGGGGACCAGGGGTGGGCTGCTTTGTCTTGCATCTCTAAGTGGCCTGGTGTGTGGGAGAGAAACAAGTCAGCTGAGCGTGGCAAACACTGTGCCCTGTGGTCACACCCGTTCGTGCATCCTTATTTCCCAGTACCACCCCCCTGATCAGGTAAGGCTATATGAGTGAGTTCTGGCCAGTAAGGCATGGGTGGAAGGGGTGACCAACACTTCTGGCCTGCCCATAGGATGCCTGATATGGTTTGGCCATGTCCCCACCCAAATCTCATCTCGAATTGTATTAATATGAATAGCTCCCATAATCCCCATGTGTTGTGGGAGGGACCTGCTGGGAGGTAATTGAATCATGGGGGTGGGGTTTTCCTGTGCTGTTCTCATGATAGTCAATAAGTCTCACAAGATCTGATGTTTTTATGAAGGGCAGTTCCCTATGCACTCTCTTTGCCTGCCACCATGTAAGATGTGCCTTTGCTCCTCCTTTACCTTCCGCCATTTTCCTTTGCCTTCAGCAAGCACCTCAGCAGTTCATGTTTTATTTTCCTAGTGGAGTGACCCAAACCTTCATTCCTGAAGGGTCTGGTGATTTGTAGTCCTGCCTGGATTGGACTGTTGCAGTTTCCCATTGACCTTAATCACAGGGCATGATAATATTGACAGACACCCTAATGGATCTTTTGTATTCTATGCATACTCTTCCTTACCTCTGTTGTGGAGTAGGGGACTGATTCCATCTCAATAGTCTTGGTCAATCACCCCAGCCAACACCGTAACTCCTTCTTAGCCCGTTGACTTAAAGTAGGAGGACCCCAAAGTGTCCAGGTGGCAATCTTAACTTCTAACTTAATGGAACCGTTGTGTCTCCTGGTGGCAGCGTTCCTCCCTCTGGAACTAAGACCTCTAGGCCAGCAGAACGTAATGTCGTGAGAAAAGGAAGCAAAAATGTTGCTACTTAATCACTAGGAGTGATGGTGAGTGGTGCCACTTCCACTTCCACCCCCTTGATTTCTGGACCCGTGGATCCTGGCTATGGGAGAAACAGGACCATATATTGGACGCTGATGCAGTGCATACACAGCCTTCTGGAGAACTTTGCCCTAGCCCTGCAAAGTATTGTAGCCTAGTTGGCATTGTAATTGTGACTTCAAAAGGCCATTCCACCGTTCTATCAATCCAGCTGCTTCAGGACGATGGGGAACATGGTAAGACCGGTGAATTCCATGAGCATGAGCCCACTGCCATACTTCTTTAGCTGTAAAGTGAGTGCCTTTGTCAGAGGCAATGCTGTGTGGAATACCATGATGGTGGATAAGGCATTCCGTGAGTCCACAGATGGTAGTCTTGGCAGAAGCATTGCATGCAGGACAGGCAAACCCATATCAGGAATAAGTGTCTGTTCCAGTGAGGACAAACCTCTGCCCCTTCCATGATGGAAGAGGTCCAATATCATCAACCTGCCACCAGGTTGATCACTTCAAAGAATGGTGCCATATTGAGGGCTCAGTGTTAGTCTCTGCTGCTGGCAAATCGGGCACTCAGCAGTGGCTGTAGACAGGTCAGCCTTGGTGACTGGAAGTCTATGTTGCTGAATCTCCATGCGTAACCTCCATCCCGGCCACCAAGGCCGCTTTGTTCATGGGCCCATTGGGTGATGACAGGGGTGACTGGGGAAAGAGGCTGAGTGGTGTCCACAGAACAGGTCATCCTATCCACCTGATTATTAAAATCCTCTGCTGAGGTCACCCATTGGTAAGCACTCACATGGGACACAAATGTCTTCACAATTTTTGACCACTCGGAGAGGTCCATCCACATACCTCTTCCCCAAATTTCTTTGTCACCAATTTTCCAATCATGCTTCTTCCAAGTCCCTGACCATCCAGCCAAACCACTGTCTACAGCCCATGAATCAGTACATAATCACACATCTGGCCATTTCTCCTTCCATGCCAAGTGCACAGCCAGGTGCACGGCTCGGAGTTCTGCCCACTGGGAAGATTTCCCTCCACCGCTGTCCTTCAGGGACATCCTAGAAAGGGGCTGTAGTGCGGCAGCTGTCCACTTTTGGGTGGCGCCTGCATATTGTGCAGAACCATCTGTGACCCAGGTCCTGGTCTTCTCTTCCTCTGTCAAATGGTTATTGCAGGCCCAAAAAGTGAGGGTCATGATCAACTCGGTATACCACTGAAGGCTAGATGAGTAAACAGCAAACTGGTCTCATAAAAGCAGGTTGTTGGCAAACTGACAAACTGCATACGCCGCCCAGAAGGAATGCTGAGGGCAGTCACGACCCAGGCACAAGTGTTCCTTGTGATTAGGCAAATCTGAAGCCTGTTAGCAATCATGTGAACCTGTTATCAATGAAGCAGCTGACCAATCGTTACCTCCTGCTCCCTGCTCTTTCTACTCAATAAATATGAAGGGCTACAGAAGTTCACCATGGCTGCCCTTGCTCTCTAGAAGCTGCGTGTCCTCTTCTTCCCTGGCCCCTTCCTTTAAAATAGTTTCTTTTGTTTCTTGTTTTCATTTCTATGTTCATCCTCCTTCGTTCAGTCCCATAGTAACTGTGGCAAACCATGGCAAATGATCATAGGGAACTCCTCATGAGGCCATTGGCGCAGGCTGGGGGAGAGGAGGCAGATGGCAGGAACGGAGACCATGGGCATTTGAGCTA